GATGACGCAGCATCAGTGTTGCGTGGATGTGTGTGGGTGGTTGTGTACTGTACTGCGTAGGGAATTGGGACAAGAACAAAACAAGGCTGTACATGCATTTTATTTTTTCAACTGATCCTTGGTTGGTTGAACCCACCAGTGCCAAGCCTGTGATTACACAGGATTGTCTATATTGGATAGGTACCTAGAAATAGAATTGGTGATCATGTAATTATTCTATATTTAGCTTTTGGGGGACCGCCAAAGTTCTCCACGGTGGCTGTACCATTTTATATTCCCACCCATGGTGTACAGAACTGCTATTTTTCCCCCATCTTTATGAATACTTTAGTTTCGTTTATTTGATTGTAGCCGTCCTGGCATACGTGGGATGCCAGTTCCTTGGGCTTTTAATTTTTATATATTTACTAAATAAGAGAGAGAGAGAGAGAGAGAGAGAAGATAGTGGTCTCCCATTCACTTGTTCTTTCCTCATATTGCCCATAGCGACTGGGACTAAGGTGGGAGCTGGGCCCTCCACCCGGGTGACAGGGATGCACCTGCTTCCCTGCTTCCCTGCAGGTTGTGATGAGCAGAAAACAGGGTGAGGAGTGGAGCCAGATGCACTGTTTAAAAGATTTTTTTAAAGTTTTTTTTTTTTTTAAGATTTATTATTTTTATTGGACAGGAAGACAGAGAAGGAGCTACAGAGAGAAATTTTCTGGTGTGGATGTAAGCTTCTCAAATGGTACTTTTAGAAGATTTTTTTTTTTATTGGGAAGGAAGATTTATAGAGAGAAGGAGAGACAGAAATATCTTCGATCCATTGGTTCACTCCCCAGATGGTTGCAGCAGCAAGAGCTGAGCTGATCCGAAGCCAGGAGCCTCTTCTTAGTCTCCCATGTGGGTTTAGGGTCCCAAGGACCTGAGCCATCTTCTGCTGATTTGCAGATAATTTCTCCCATCTAATGTCCTTGGATACACAGATGTTTCAACATCATGTGTAACAGGCCAGTCAGTTTATTTGTTCTTCCTGCCTTGGTAGTATGTCTAAGACCTTGTGACCACATCCAAGGGTGGGAATGCTTTCATTTGAATTCTTCCGTAGTTACGTTTTCAGTTCATACTTGCGTATCATCTCAGGCATACATCCCTGAACTTCATAGGTACAACTAAGAAACGTCGTTTAGTTCTCCCTAAAGATTCTGTATTGCTGTGTTGGACAGTATGTTTGATATATTTTCTGTCATATTTTGTACTTAATTGCTGCGGTATAGTTAGTAGGCATATATAATTTTATCTTAAAATATATATATTTTAAAAGTTTTATTTTTGTTGAAAAGGAAGACAATCAGAGAGAAGGAGCTACAGAGAGAAATATCTTCCAGCCACTGGTTTGCTCCCCAAGCGGCCACAACAGCTGGAGCTAAGCTGATCCAGTCCAAAGCCAGGAGCTTCTTCTGGGTCTCCCATGTGGGTGCAGTGTCCAAAGGCTTTGGACCATTATCTACTGCTCTCCCAGGCCACAAGCAGGGAGTTGGATGGGGAGTGGAGTAGCCAGGATACGAATTGGCACCCATATGGGATCCCATTGCATGCAAGGCGAGGACTTGAGCCACTAGGCTATCGCTCTGAGCCCCTTAAAATAAATTATTAAGACTAATTAAAAATGTAGTGACAATTTAAGAAACATGTCCTAAATTTTTTATGTAAAGATGAAATTATTTTTAATGGGAAAAGTAAAATACCAATGCATCTGGTAGAATAGCTGAAAATATTTTCAGCAAATCTCAGTTAAAGTGCTCTCATTTCTAATATATAGAGCTTTCTTTTTTTTAGGATTTACTTTTATTTGAAAAGCATAATTAAACAGAGAGAAGGAGAGGCACAGGGAGAGAGATTTTCTATCTGCTAGTTCTCTCCCCAAATGGTCACAAAGAAGAAGAAATGATACAACGTTTTTTGAGTAGAATTTTGCTAAGTGTGACAATCCCTACATCTGCATCTGCTTTTTGAGTTCTTTGAGTTTTCTCAGTGCCTGCTGGACATTGTGAGAGTCTGTTTGCGTGACTCAGTGTTTCTGGGCTTGTATGTAATGGATAGCCAAGTAAACTATTGTATCCATGTCATAAAGCATTGTACAGCAGTGAAAATAGTGAATGGTGCCAAAGTGATGCAGTGATTTCTAGGACATATTGTTAAGTGAAAAAGAAAGTATTGGTAGTTTATTTTACATTAAGCCAAAGGGAAGGACATAAGTCAGTACACACTCCTCTGGTTATTTCTGCAGAGACCAACAGAAAAGGTGAAATGGGGCAGGCATTTGGCATGGCAGTAAGACACTGCTTGAGACCCCCATGTCTCCTGAGTGGAGTGTCTTTGTTCCGGTGTCACTGGCTGTGCAGGCATGCCCTGGGAGGCCGCAGGCTGTGGCTCAGATGCCTGGAGACGGGAGTGTGTTCTTGGTTCCCTGCTTCAGCCCTGCCCGGCCAGCCCTGGCCTTGCAAATTTTGGGGGCTGTGAACTTGTAGGTGGGAGTTACCTGGTTCTTAAGTAAATGATTTTGAAAAAGTTTGAGTAAAACGTTAAATGGGGTACAGAGAAATTGAGAAGATGGAGGAGCATGCCACTTCTGATTTTGATGTGTTTCATCTAGTTTTGACCATTAGTACTTAGAATTTCATATACTTAAGGGTGAAGGATAGAGGGGGGAATTCAGAGTGGAATAGAAGGCCAATGACGGATCTAGAAACAAAGCTAAGGCTAAGAGCAGAAAAACCTGTCCATGCACACTGTTGTCTAGTAAGTAATTCTTTGAATTCTTTTTCCCACTTAATAAGAGTGACTGAGGCAGAGGGGGAGTTTCTGAAGGAGGGGACAGAGGGGAGGAGAGCAGGACCTTTCGTCTGTTCGTTCACTCCCCAAATGGCTTGGCTGAGGGGACCTGGGCTAGCTGAAGCCAGGAGCTCAGACACCACCCACGTCTCCCACAGGGCACAGGGCAAGTGCTTAGGCCATCTTCCGCCATTTTCCTCGGCACATTCGCAGGAAACTCAACCATAAGTGGAATAGCCGGACTTGAAGTGTTGCTCTGATATTGCGTATGACCACATTAAACCTGATTTACTTCCTTAAAAGACTCCTACTTCCAAATATAGTCACACTGGTAGTTTAGCTTCAGCGTACGCTTGGGGGTAGGGAGAGTGGTGAGAAGGGACACAGTTCAATCCATAACAATGTGTGTTTCTTGATTAAGATATATTGAGAAGGACACATCTGTGAGCGTATTTCCAGATAACATCACTTGAACTTAATGGAAAAATCAGACAAACCCAATTGTAATTTTTAAAATCAGGATAGTCTATAAAATAACCTACTTGTCTTAAAGTGCGAAGGTTATAAAAGGTAAGAGTGAGGATCTGAGACTTCAGGAGTTAAGAGACTAAACAGGACACAGTACTTGACACTTGGATTAAGTTTTTAAAAATGCTTATTATTTATCCATTTGACAGGGAGGAATAGGAATCTTGTATCTGTTGGTTCATGAGCCGGATTCTGCAGCACCCAGAGCTAGGCCAGCCAGAGCCCGAAGCCTGGAATTCATGTTGGTGACAGGATCCCAAGTACTGGACCGACTTTTGCGTCCCAGGCAGGAAGTGGGATGCAAAGTGGGGGAGCCTGGCCTTGAACTGGAACAGGTTCTGGTATGGGACACAGGTTCCTAAGTGTGGGACACAGGTTCCTAAGTGGTAGCTTGGATCCCAGTGCTCATCCCTGGTGGTTATGTGTGTGTTTAAAAGAGATTGTTTAGATCAGGTTTCAAAAAAGACCCACCTGTTACAATTGGTCAGCGTAACTCTTGCAGTTTTTGTTTTTCACAGTACACTTCCATAGGCTCAGGGATTTCCCCTTCCAAATCCCCAGACAACTCTTAAATCCAAAACTATCCTTTTCCTTGTAGTTTATTTGTTGACAAGATGAACTTGTCCTTGGGGTTTCCCTCTGCCCAGACTGACTTGGATGCATTCTTTTGAAATAGCTTACGTGCCCTGCATTTCATTTACATTGGTGGAGAGGTTTAGAGCACTGGCTGAACATTATCAATTTGGGAAATTAGAAAATGAAAACCAGTCTGATATCCACTTTTTCTTGGGGCCCACCATTCCCGTGGGTTCTCATTTTATTGATATGGATTTTGGATCATAGGAGTTTTTCAGTTGCCTACAAGTAATTCTTGATTTGCAGCCAGTATTAACCTCTGTTCTAGGCCTGGTTACCACTGGTCCGGAGGCCTAATCTGAATGAGCTCTCGCTTTTGCTTGAACTGATAGCAGCTTTGTTCTTTAGCGCTTCCTGCAAGCTGGGAGTCACCACAGTCATGTCTGCTCACAGTCAGACCGCATTGCTTGTGTAGGCGATTGTGGCCGATGCAGTGGTGGGATATTTAGCAACTTGCACGTTAGCGTTTTACAGGCTGCGTTGTCTGTGTGGTCCTAGGCAGGTTGTGCGAGTGTGTGCTTCATTTAGTGGGATGGAGTAAGCCCACTGTGTGTAGGTAGTTTAGGAGTAACTTTTTAAATTTGACCTTCTGTTCCTGTGCTTACCAGGCTGGTGTTCTTTGGGTGGTTATGCAGGCATTGAGCAACGGGAGCAGTGACGCTTAGCCACCCCTTGCTCTGCTGCTGAACGCGGGGAGCTTAGAGGATCAGGGTTATGTGCAGGCATCAGATCTGCTGGACGGGATAGCTGTTTTGTGTTAGTGGGAAATTAGCTTATTTTTTACTTCATGTAAAAGCTTTGTGTTCTAGCTGGTGTCAGTGGCTTAATTTTTGAGATGTGGTTTCTGTAGGAATCTCATGAGGTCGCTACGAGATTGTCTCACTAGTACTAGGTACTGCTATTCATCATTAGCCTGAAAGTATTTTTCTAAGTGGAAGACACGTTGAATGTTAATATTGCAACACAGTACGTTACAGTTCTTTGGTGTCTTTATGTATTTCTCTTTTGCTTTTACTTCCTAGGTTGCACGTTTTCAAAAACTACCTAATGGTGAAAATGAGACAATGATTCCTGTATTGACATCCAAAAAAGCAAGTGAATTACCAGTCAGTGAAGTTGCAAGCATTCTCCAAGTGAGTGGTTGGTGGGGAAGTAGAGAATAAATAATGTGAAATTAGTAACTTAGAATTGGTACAACAATGTTATATAATTTACTTTGTTTTAAGATTTAAAAATTTTAGTATTTAACAGAGTCCTTGTGGTTTGTAAGTATAATTCTAAAACAATAACATTTCCCTTATTTCTCCTTTTCCCCCTTCCCAACTTCTCTCCCAGCATACTCTAGATTTATATTATAAAGGCTTGATACTTAATTGAATAAGAAGTTTTAGCAAGTAATAAGCCAAAGTGGCCTCAGTTTATTGGGAATATATCAAAAGCTATAAACAATAATTGAATAGAAAAATGATCAGTTAACCCTTAAATAGTTGCAGTTTGTCAAAGGTATAAAATATTTTTATGATTATATTTCCTTATTTCTTTGTTTCTTTTTTTATGTATAGATTTATTCATTTTTATTGGAAAGACAGATTTACAGAGAGATCTTCCATCTGCTGGTTCGCTCCTCATGTGGCCATAATGGTTGGAGAAGAGCCCAGCTGAAGCCAGGAGCTTCTTCCAGATTCCCAAATGAGTGCAGGGTCCCAAGGACTTACACTGCCCTCTGCTGCTTTCCCAAGCCATAGGCAGGGAGCTGGATGGGAAGTGGAGCAGTTGGGACTAAACCAGTGTCCATATTGGAGTCACCTCCAGTCTTTGAGTTTTTAAGGTTTAGCTACCATATATAAGGGTAGAGTTTTCTTCATTGATAAAAATAGTTTGTTTTTTGCTGTTAAGCAGAATAGGATCAGGAAAACATGACTGTTGCTTGATATGTGGCTAGTGTGATGGAGAGACAGAGCTGAATTTCGTTGCTGCGTGTTGCTGGCCACCTGATTGGATGCTGCAGCTCTAGATATTGCCAGGAATGTTGGTGCTGTGTAATGATAAGTTGGATTAGGGAAATAATTTATAAAAGTAATTTGGAAATTTAGTGTATTAAAACAAAAGAAATTTTTCTTTGGACAATCATGTATTAAAACATTGAAAACGTTGTTTTCCTGTTTTTGTTGTTGGTGGTTGTAGTTACTCTTGGAACCAGTTTTTTTTTTCTGTGTTTAAATTGTAAGTGTGTTATTGAACTCTGTCATGCAGGGTTTTCGAGGAGGTAAGTAGTTGTGCTCTTTGGGAGTTACAGTCACAGTGGGTGTCTGCAGTGTAACACGTCCCTGAACCAGGTCATCGTCGTTGCTTCGTTTAGTAGAGTAAGCACCAGTCTTGAACCTCACGCAGTCCAACATCGACAGCAGTGTTGATGTCAGAGAACAAGAGAACAGGCAAACTGGGGCTCCCTGAATATTCTTGTAGAGAAGCTGCTTTCATAAAATACCCATGAAAACAAGAAAGCCAATTAAAATATACTAGTACTATGGTTGATTTCTATTATTCCTTTTTCACCATAGAAAAATATAAGCTTTTTGTTTTAATTTGCTTTGTTGCTTTGTTGTTGGTGTGATCTGCACTGAAGTGTGCAGTTTGCGTCTTGACAGGTGTAACCAGTGCTGCAGTTAAGATCCAGGACGTTTGGATCACTTTCAGTAACTCTTGGGTGTGTGACAGTTCATGCCTCTCACTGAGTCATCGCTGAGCATCTCGTCATCTTTCTGTTACTGCAGACCAGTTTTGACTGTTACAAAACCACCTACAGACACGATCACAGTATCTTCCACATTTTTCTTTCCTTGTTCTGTGCTAACAACTTTAATAACTGCTATGTGCACATCCAACAGGCTGATCTTCAGAATGGTTTAAACAAGTCTGAAGTTAACCATAGGCGGGCCTTCCATGGCTGGAATGAATTTGACATCAGTGAAGATGAGCCACTGTGGAAGAAGTATATTTCCCAGGTAGGAGATTTTATTTCCTTCACTGCTGTGTCATTTACTTGATTGTCTTTTATACTTGTTTATTTTTGTGAAGTTATTTATGGAGAAAAATACAAATTGGTTTGCTTAAAAATTTCAGTTTTTTGTTTGTAATTCCCATAAGTTTTAGAGTAATCGTTTTCTCTGTTGACATCATGTGAATGTGCTGCTGTTGATGGTTACCTCTGCAGATGCCAAACTAGTGCTGTTTAGGTTACAGCCATTCCCCTTGGTAATCCCTGACGAACAGCGAGTCAGTATAAATACCGCTTCCCTCTATTAGCGCTGTGATCTTCGGTACCCTGAGCCCTAGGTGTAAGTGGTGAGCGTCTCAGGCGATGGCTACCTAGTGTATTGTTATTGTGCTCAGCTTTTAGCAAAGGTGATCGCAGGAATTTTTCTTTTCTTAACTTGCAAATAATTGTTACTGTAAAACTTAGAAGACATGGCCAATTTCCAATTATTGGGGTTGGTTTGCTAAGCAAGTAAGTTGTTTTTAGTACAGAAAAGAGAATTCAACCTGCAAGTTTGCATAAAAATCTTTGTGTTTATCTTTTAAATTATCTTTTTTAAGTTTGAGAGACGTTTTGTTAGTGCTGGCTCACTTCCTGCATGTCTGGAAACCCAGGACTCAGTTCTCCTGTGTGGGTGCAGTGACCTGGCCACGTGAATCTCTACCTGCCGCTTCCCAGGGAACAGGGAAGCTGGAAAGCAGGAAGCTGGAATTGGAAGTGGAGCAGCCTGGAACGTAGGCCCTCTGCTGATGGAGCGTGGCTGTCCTGAGTGGTTTCCCACTGCTGTACCAAATGTCCGCAGTGTGTCCTCATATTTGCTGCATTTCCGCTGATAAGTTCAGAAAGCAGTAACCTAGTTTATAAGAGATTGACCCAGGAGCAGGGGTTTGATGGATCACCGGGCGGAATGCTTTGGAGTTTTGCCTTACGCTGGCACCAGAGCCAAAGCTGCTGCTCTGGGATTTCTCTAACAGTTGAGCAGTGCTGTACCAACCAGGCTTAGCAGCGTCGGTGGGACGTGTCGGAGAGTGTGCCTGCCCATAGCGAGTGACACCTTCTGACGGGGGCACTGCATCTTTAGGGGAGAATAAAGACCTTGTTGGGGCGATGTTAGCAGGCAACAGCTGAATAATATTTTGTGATTTCTTTCTGGTACCTAGATATAATTGCTTTTCTTTTAAGATTCATTTAATTAATTTGAAAACATGACACAGAGTAAAGGAGACAAACTTTCCTTTTGCTGGTTTGCCCTGTCAGTGCCCCACCCCTAATGGCTGTGCAGGCAGGAGCCAGGAGCCTGAAGCTGCATCTCCTTCCCCCACAGGGAGAGCTGGGGCCTCAGCACTTGGGCTGTCAGCTTGTGTCTGGCTTGTTGGAGGAAGCTGTGTCGGAAGCAGAGCAGCTGGGCCGGGAACCGGCTCTAACCACAGCATGTTGGTGTCATGCCAGTGACTTGATGTGTGCGCCACACATCCACAGCTACTACACGTCTTAGTTAATTCTCACAAATTCCTTGGCAGGAAAATTCCATTTTATCAACTGAGGAACCTGGGACTTAAAAAGATGAGATTGGCACATAGGTGCCAGGAGCTGGATTCAAGTGTAGAACTCTAATTCAGTAGCATTAGGAGCTTGTTGGCCCTGCTCCGTGTTGCATATTGTGGAATTGTATTGAAGTGTTTGAATATAGTTTACTGTAGACCTTTTATTGTTAATTTGAAGAGATACATGAAGTAAGCCAAACGAAGACTCGTTTGTAATCATGCTCATGGCTTTTTTAACAAAGCTTTTGCTAAGATACACCAACAGTTGTGACCTTACACAAAAAGTATGTTTGTTTTTCCTTTCAGTTTAAAAACCCCCTTATCATGCTGCTTCTGGCTTCTGCAGTCATCAGCGTCTTAATGCATCAGTTTGATGATGCCGTCAGTATCACTGTGGTAAGAAGGTCATCTGTGGATACAGCACATAAATTGGGATTTGCTTTTGTTTTGGGAACGGAATTGAGAAATGCCCTCAGAGTTTTTTTGTTATTAATCACATTCTGTTTTGGGGTATAGTAATTAAAAATAGTAATCAAGGGTCTGTGATTGGCAAACATGAATATTTGACAATCTAGCAGTTTTACAGATATAGACTACTTAAAATTTAAATTTAAATTTATTTTACTTCCAGATGACAGTATATTTTGATGAACATAAACTGAAGCCTGGTGTGTGAACTTAAAAATATTCTTTGGTAGTGCACACACTATATATATATATATATTGTTCATGATTTTTATTCTTTCCAGCTAGGTGATTCTAGTTTTGATTGAATGTTTTTTTTTTCATGCTTTCTGTTTCATTATAGTAAAAAAAAATTTGTAGCAGTTGCAAACATTTAAAGCAAAAGTGCACTGATTAAAAGACCGCAGTGGCTGTCGCCGTGGAGTCGCATTGCGGTGACTCCTGCCTGCAGACTCCGAGGGGCATCCTGTCCTCTGGAGTTGCTGTTAGGCGTGCTCCTGGCAGGCTGGCTGCGGTGGTCCTGGAGTACATGCATGTCTCTTCAGTGTGTGTACCAGATGGGCATGGCATCAAAACGCTCCTCAGCACACTGAGGTCACAGTTGTTGTCGCAAGGGTATTGTAACTGACCTGCGGCCTGAAAGCATGGCTGCTAGAACGCGCTGTGATGATTAAGGTTTTGCTAAGTAGCAGCATTTGTTTTGAAAGTGAGTAAAAGGAGCCTGTCAGATCAAAGAAAACAACTGACCGAATCTGTTGCTAAGATAGTGTCCAGGCGTTCTGAGCGTTTTACCTGCTAACTGAATGAGCTCCGGATAGCTTCGCAGTATTTAAGACTTTATTCTGGTGATCAGTAGTGAGTTCAGCAAATGTGGTTTTTCTTTTAAACTGTTTAGAAATGTGTTTACTTTTGCATAATTTGAATAACCCAGGGACAACCCATGTTTTCCAAATGAGTAGTGTCACCAAATCTGTAGGTTTAAGGGTTCCATTTAAAATGAAAGGTAGATGAATGAATTTTAGTTTGGACACAGTTCTGGGTTCTGGTCCAGGGTGAGTGTCACCTGGAGGTGCTGTGGCTGGTCAGGCTCCCTGTGCAGCTGTGTTCTCTCTCAGGCTTGCTCGTCCTTGTTTGCTTTGGCCTGAGCTGTGCTGTGTAGCAGATAGAATACCAGCTTTGTATTAAAATTGGAAAATTTAAAACATTGTCGCCTTTCTCAGTTTTTCCTGGAAAATACATTTTTCAGAGAAAAAGTTGGTGTTAACATGTAATTTTTAAAAAAGCTTTTAGATGAATAGGTGGAGATACAGAGCTAATTGTGCAGCTCTCCAGCGTGACACGTATTAGTCGGTGAGGTTCACATGGATGAGGCCCGTCCCTGGCTGAGCGGGCTGAGCGCACGGAGCATCCGGCATGGTAGCCTGGCTGCTTGCATGCCTGTGGGGGATGTGGACTTGTTGGGGTTCCTCAGCGTTTAGGATTTTAGCTTAGGGCTGGGGATCATCAGAAGAATAAAATGGGTAGCAGTCATTTTTAAGTGAATGCCTGATTAATACTTCTTTCTTTTATTTAGGCAATACTTATTGTTGTTACAGTTGCCTTTGTTCAGGTGAGTAAGTGACCTATTTAGCCAATATACAGATGTTGTATTAGTTTATTACTTAAAGAAAAATGAAGGTGTCTCGTAGTGAGCTGGGTAGTTCCTGCGGAGCTGTAGTGCCCGCCGCAGCGATCTCTCTGTCTTGAGGTGATTGCAGACATAAACAGCTCTCCGCGGAGGTTGATGGACTAAGACACTGCTCTGAGCAACTTGTGAGGAGAAGGAAAATTAGGTTTCTGCTTGATAATGGGCAGCAAAATTGCACCAGATGAGAAGTAGAAGCAAAAACCCCCAATCAAGACATTTTTCTAATCAAAAAATGTCTGGGCCAAAGTTTGTGATTTTGTCACACTGTTGTGTCTGAATACCTACTAGAGTTAAGTTTAGATGAAACAAAAAGCGTGCAGGATCAAAGCGTTGGGTTGACAGAGCCACATGTGAGGCACCCACCGACTTCCATGATTGGTCCCTTTGCTGAATGGTGCGCTTGTGGACGGAACTGCTGGCCTGCTTCATGTGGACGTGGGGCGTTAGGGTGCTTCTCTGACTGCTACTGCGCATGTCCTCGGCTTTCACAGGAGTGTTCTGATTGGGGGTAAACCTTGCCGCCCTCAGAGCCACAGAAAGAGCAGGTCAAGCAGTGAAGAGAAACCTGTGTAAAATCTTCACCGAATAGTGCAGGAATAATGTCAAGAACCATGTTAGCAAGTCGCATGGGAAAGAACAGAGTGGGCAGTATTTGCACTCTGCTTCCCAGTGGCGGTAGGTCTCATTCGTTAGAACTGCCCCAGGAAGAATGCCACTTCAGGACCCTGCAGTGCGTGCTAGTGGGAATTGTAAGATTAGTGTTTGAGTGACTGTGAGTAGTGTTGTTGCACAAAGCAGCACTGCTAACGGAAGCATAGTGAGGTGTTGTGTGTTGTAACTTAATAATCAGGGCTTCTACAAGTTTCCTGTTCAGAAGGTTCAGGTTGATGGGAAGTGTGTGTCAGGGTGCAGTGAGCCATGGCTCAGTGTTCTTGCTCAGCAGAGCTCTGCAGTGAGCATGGGCTAAGGGCGCATGTGATGCCACTGGCATCAAATGGCACATGTAAAGTTATTTTTCTTATAAGGCATTGATCTTAACATGAATGACTCCGTTACATGCTCGGCACGCTGTTCAGTTTTCATGTTCCAAATAACATGAGGTTATTGAATATCAAAGTATGAAATCTGAAATACATATAATAACATTTTAGAATAAAACACAAGTTTTATAGTTAAAGATATAAGCACAAGAAAAGGAAAAAGTAAGACTTGGGGAAATCTTAAAATAATGATTAAAGGTAATATTTAAGTTGAAATGGAATATCTGTGGCAGAATACACCTTTACATTTCTTTATATGCGTTTAACATGAACTTTTTTTAATAGGAATACCGTTCAGAAAAATCTCTCGAAGAATTGAGTAAACTTGTACCACCAGAGTGCCACTGGTATGATCCTTTTTACATTTTTTGATGCAGGTTTATCCTGTAGAGTCCAAGTTGGGGACATGGGCGTTAGCCTAGGAGTTAGGCACCTGCTTCTCGCATTGGTGTCCTTGGCCGAACTCGCCCCTGGCTTTTGTGGCCACTTTGGAGTGAACCAACAAATGGAAAAACTTCTGTCTCCCGCACTCTGTAATGCTCTCAAATAAAAAAGAAAACTTAAAACATTGGATGAAGCTGTTGATATGAAAAATTATGCTCTGATGAATGTAGCAAAAATTGCACTACTAACTGTAAGTCTAGTAAGATTTATTTGATTATTTGAAAGGCAGAGAAAGAGACGGGGATCTTCCATCCTCTGGTTCACTTTCCAAAGGACTGCTGAAAGTTCCCATCTAGATCTGCCATATGGACAGTGGGGATGCAGGCACTCGGGACATGTTCCACTGCTTTCCCAGGCACGTTAATGGGGAGCTGCACTGAAGGTGGAATAGCCAGGACTCAAGCCTTAGTGAAAAACCAGGATGTCATGTGGCATTCTATCACTGTCAGCAGTGGCTTAACCCGCTGCACCACAGTGCAAACCCCAGAGCTTTAAGCTCTAATGTTGATAGTGTTGATGTGTGGGCGTGGATTTATTCAGCAAGTATCTTTGTGGTTATGCAGAGCGTTGTCTGTGATGTAGCACCCTCTTGATTCAGAAAACTGCTTCAGTTTTCACATTTTGTATTTGAACAATTTGTTTTTTAAAGATTTACTTTGGAAAGAAGTTTATATATATGTGTGTGTGTGTGTATACATACATATGTTCATATGTATATACGTACAGAGAGAGTGATAAAGTTTTTCTATCCACTGGTTTATTTCTCAAATGGCCACAGTGGCCAGAGCTGAGCCAATCTGAAGCCAGGAGCTTCCTCTGGGTCTCCACATGGGTCCAGGGTCCCAAGGCTTTGAAATGTCGTCTGCTGCTTTCCCAGGTCATAAACAGGGAGCTGGCTGGGCAGTGGAGCAGCTGGGACACAAAGCGGCACCCAAATGGGATGCTGGCAGTTGCAAGCGGGGAATCAGCCTGTTGGACCATTGTACTGGCCCTGAATAATAAGGTTTTCCAGTGATTTTCTATCATCTGGTTATCTTAATAAGACCACAGTGATCCCTCTCTCGGATGAGTGATGTGGGTTTCATTTGCAACCCACGGTTGTTTCTGTCTCATGTTGTAGTGTACGTGAAGGCAAACTGGAGCATACGCTTGCCCGAGACTTGGTTCCAGGCGACACCGTCTGTCTGTCTGTCGGTGACAGAGTTCCTGCCGACTTACGCTTGTTTGAGGTGAGTTGGGTCTTTTAAGAGAATATTTGGATGTTAAGCATCAGTTCTAAGGATTAACCTAGTTGATTTGAAACATTTGGTATTTAGTTTTTTTCCTATTTTGACATATCGGTACTATAACGTCTTTTGCAATATCTCTTCAGGTATCAGCAGATTTTTATGGAAACTTGTGTTCCAGGCACTGTAGGAGACATAGTATTCACTGTGTGTGATATAGTTCTTGTGATTTGGGAGCATGTTTGTATGTGTTCACAAATTACTAAGTGTGATAAAACTTAGTACTTGCGTGAAAGAAGTTCAGAGAATAGGTATGGAAATTTAGAGAATGGATTTTGAGTGAGATCTTAGAATGGCTTAGACGATATGGCTTTAGTGGTTGATGATTGAAAATTAGTATTGGACAAAGTTGGGTAGGGAAGACAGTGAGATAGTAACGTTCAGAACTGAATATTCCTTCCTGTGCACGTGCTTCTTGAGTTACAGTGTGGTGGCATCTCAGTAAACCCTTTGCAAGTTGGTAAGATCTGAAGCTGGCAGTGCATTGAATACAGGTGTAGTACTTAGCAACACAGCATACCATACCCTCTTGGCCCTATGACTCAACACTTAGGCCACACATCAAGAATAAAGACCGTGTGTTAAATGAACATAGGGGATAGGGAGGAAGAAGTAACAATGAGCCACTTTTTGTAATTATTTTATCTGAAATGATTTAGGATACTCCTGTTCGTAAAGAAGATGTGACTCCAGTTTGGAGTACTTTGTATATAATGTGAGCTGTGAGTTAAGAAGTTTAAATAGTGAAACTGCCCAGTCATTTCCTGTAATACTTCCTTAGCCTGTTCCTTTCCAGGATTAGAGCCAGTGCCTTGTACCTAGCTAAGGCAGTAAATATTTGTTGGATGAGTGAATAAATCTGCCAGAAGAGTAACATTATAAACTAGTTCCTAGCTTCGCAAAGGGTGTCCAAAATGGAATGAGTTAGACTGGCAGACATACTGCCTTTCAGACTTGAGTGTGCGTGTCCTCTGACTTTCCTCAGCCCTGGTTAGGATGGTGGCGGGCCTGCCGCTTCTGCAGGCTTTGCAAACCCTGCTGCTGCGTTCCTGTTCTTGCTGAAGTGATTCCACTGGTGTGGTGAAGGCTTTGAAAAGCATGACAGTAGGGGGAAGCTGCTTCTTAAGTCATTATTTTAAAATGGCTCTTACCCCTTCTGTGTGTGTCTCGTTTATCCTGTTGTCTTGCTTTGAAGATGCTGTCCGTGGGTGTACTTGGAGACACAGGCCACACTGCTGGCTTCCTAGTGTGTTCCCATGGGTGAACTCCAGTTGCAGAGTTGGAACATCAGATACTTGTATCCATGCAGAAGTGTTTTAGGTTGTTATTTTGGAATAAACGTAAGGATGTGTAGAAAGAAATGAAAACAGCTGAAAATGACACTGATTTCTGTCTGACAATCTTTTTTGCTCTTTACTCAGTTATTTCTTTCTTGATTGGTTTTAATCATGGTTTTAATTTATGGAAATTATGTAGTTTCCATAATTTTAGGGTCATGGCAACAGTAAGAAACAAGAAACAATGTTTTGTCTTCAAAAGTGGGTTTTCTCCAAAGATTGAGTCTCAGCTAATGTCTGTGTTTTCCTGATTGTGTTTTGAATTTTAGGTTCATGTGGTCTCTATTTTACATGCCTCTAATTCTATTACTTGTTAACTTCCTTTGGAAATATGATTGCGCTGTGGTCTTCTGCTAGTGTAGTGGACACAATATAATCAGTAGAGAAGATCTGAAAAAATGCTGATTATGAACTTTTGAGATCCTGTATTGATGAGCTGTGCTGTGTTCCCTAGGCTGTGGATCTTTCCATCGATGAATCCAGCTTGACCGGAGAGACAACCCCTTGTTCCAAAGTCACAGCCCCTCAGCCGGCTGCGGCTAATGGGGCTCTGGCATCCAGAAGCAACATCGCCTTCATGGGAACTCTGGTCAGGTGTGGCAAAGCAAAGGTAACAGCATTCCTGCTTTGGAAAAAGAAGCAGTTCCTCTGATTCAATCTGTTTCCTTAGTTCTTTTTTGCTAGGGTTTTATTTGTGTGCGTGTATATTTTATTATTTTATTAAGAATTTATGACAACACAAAATTGAATCTCTTTAGAGCTATTTGTAAGATTGAAGATAGCCTGTATCCCTGAAATATTAGCATACAGGATATGATATATCCGTAGTTCTGCCATTTGTTAGAAAACCATTCTTCATATTTGTTCCTTTTTTAAGATGTGGTTCATGGATATGTTGAATTTTTAATTTATTTATAATTAAATAGAATTTAGTAAAATGAAAAATTAAATAGAACTTAAATAAAATTTTAATTGAGTTAGTATGATATTTAGCTTATAGTGTTCTGACTGCAAATTCACCTGTTGACCAATTGAAAATACTTCGTTTCTTGAATTCTCCTAGTTTACCAGTATAGATGTACTGTTCTATAGCTTATGGGGGAAGAAAGAACATATTAAAAATTTGTATTGAGAGAGATTCAAATTTTAGAAATATAGGCAGAAATAGACCCTGGCCAGAATTTAGCAGTATGGTTAATGGAATGTGTCCAAAGTTTGTGTTATAAGAGTTAAAATGTTTTAAAGTTAGTAGCCTGAAGGAAATTTGATGAGGGATTCTTGGATTGTTTGCTAGGTCTGTTCATTGTAGGTAAGACTGAAAAAAAAGAGGGAAAAGTTTTTTTTTTTTTTGGAAATGTATTTTATTAGAAAGGCAGATTTACAGAGAGACAGAGAGAAAGATCTTTCATCCGCTGGTTCACCTCCAAGTGGCCTCAACAGCCGGACTTGAGGCGAACCGAAGTCAGGAGCCAGGAGCTTCCTCTGGGTCTCCCGTGCAGGTGCAGGATCCTGAGGCTTTGGGCCATCCTTCACTGCTTTCCCAGGCCATAGGCAGGGAGCTAGATGGGAAATGGAGCAGCTGGGATATGAACCAGTGCCCATATGGGATCCCAGTGCATGCAAGGCAAGACTAGCTACTAGGTCACCGTGCAAGGCCCAGGAAAGTTTGTGTGTATGTGTGTACGTGTTTTATTTCTGGATTGAAAAAGATAGTTATATCTCAATGAATATATGTTTTTTTTTTCCCCTCAGGGTATTGTCATTGGAACAGGAGAAAATTCTGAATTTGGGGAAGTTTTTAAAATGATGCAAGCAGAAGAGGTGAGTATTTGTATGTTAATGATGTGTATACTTGTGTAAAATCTGACATTCTCTGTTGTGAGTAGAAGGCGAAATACTGGTGTTGTGTGTGTGTGTGTGTGTGTGTGTTTGAAAGCAGCAGTCATTCAGAGTATCGTTCAGTTGTCTGCTGGGAAGCATAATTGGAAAGTCTGTCATTGGAAGGACCTGAATACGCATCAAATTTTTAACCTTTCTGTATGTGATTTATAAGAGAAAAATGTTTATAGCTGATTTAAACATTTTACTCTGTGTCGAAATTAGTTTGTCATTATTTGTAAGGATTATTATTTCATATATTCTACCTTAGAACATTTTGGTAGAAACCAAAATTTGCAACCATACCTGATCCCAGGTATAGGGAAACCATGGTAGCCAAGCAGTATAAGCTAGAAGATAGTTTTGGTTAAGGATATGTGTTTTTCTTGTGCTTCAAATGAGGATGTTTCATTTCATAGATGTCATATTTCCTCTAAATTTTCCACATTGCTTAGGTAGCTTTCTAGACCCCAGTCTGTGGTACAATGTGGAAATCCATGCCTAGAAGCTTGGTGGTAGAGGGTGGCTAAGGAGGATCGGCAATGTCCATGGCTTCTTGGCATGCTGTGATTGCACCAAGTGAGGGAGCAGCCAGTGAATGTGGGGCTCTGGGAGCTGATGCCAAGGAGGAGGGATGCTGTCCCAAAGCCGAGGCATGAGGAGACCGGATGTTTATAAGAAAATGTTTTTGGTTACCGATTCTGTTTTTACCTTTAAAATTTAGTTATTTTTGATTTTCTACCTGTGACTTGGGCATTGCCAAAGCCTCAGTTTTCTAAGGGGAGGTGGTGGTGTTTATTTACCGAAGGCTTTGACATGGGTGTGTGAGGAGCGTCAGAGCCCCTTGCACCTGGGGAGTTGTTCGTGTCAGTGATGGTGGTGGCATTGTTCACTTTGTCAAGGCACCAAAGACTCCCTTGCAGAAGAGCATGGACCTCCTGGGCAAGCAGCTCTCGTTCTACTCCTTCGGGATAATAGGTAAGGCACGAGTAGTGTGTTGATGCTTCGTTTGGTATTGGACTTACTCTTTTTTATTTCAGTGAGAAAGATAAAGTTATTATAATCCTATTGAATTTGATTTACTTTTAAAGCCTCTTTTATTATAAAACCAACCTTCCCATTCATTGTCCTTTTCCACAAGGAAAAAAATAGAAGTCTGTTTTTTTAATAATCTTCATTTCTGTGACCATTTTAGTATTTGTCCTATAATCTCCAACAAAAATCTGATACTATTGTTTAGTGGCCAACTTTTTTTGTTTAAAATATACTATCATGAACGTGTTTTCATTAAATAAATGCTTACCTGAAACAAATTTAGAAGTTGTATGATATTCCATTCTTTGAAAAAATACATCAAATTAGCCATCTGTTAGACATTTATGTATTTTTTTGAATTTTTAACTCATAAATAATTCTTCATTGCTAATTACCTGTAATAAACACTTACGTCTTTTGGAAACATTCTTTGAATAAATTACTGAGTTGAAATGTAGACATGAAACATAACAATTTTGGGCCATCTTGAAAAAAAGACTTCTTATTTCACATTTCATTATTCAGGAAACAAAATGCTTTGTCAGATGTATGTTCTTTTTATTTCTTTTTAATGGCTTGCTATTTTTTCTTATAATGGCTTTTATATAACTGTGTTATCAGACATTTTATTGCTTGAATTATAAACATTTATTTTAATTACCTCCAAGGGAGGTCTGTGTGATGGAGACGTGCGCCTGGCTGAGTCTGAGCACCTGCCGCTCACTCTGGTGGCCGCTTCCGCACTGCTGCTGTCCCCGGGGTCTCTCCCGCTCCTGTGTTTATAACAGCGTTGTTTAAAATTTATTTTAATACATGACTTGCAGGAGCTAGAATTAGTCTTTTTTAAGTTAATCACAAAAAGCTCCATTGCTCCAGTGCCATGGGTTCTGTGATCCGTTCCTCACTCAGTGAGGTGGCGTCTTGTCATACATTGTACGCATGCACTAATTAGGAGTCTTCTCTCTTTTAATTCTTCCATGTTAGTTATTCTGTCGAGCTTAGAGTTTAAAAGTTAGTAACACAACGTAAAGGCAGTATTTCCATTACATAATTTTAACAAAATAATTCCTTAAACATTATCTCTTTAGCCACTTTTGGGATTACAATGGTCTAACGTAAATATGAGGTAGAAGATGGGAAGATAGTTGATTTTATCTCTTGTGGCTCCTTTTGTTTGATTATTGCTATTGAAATATAGACAGTTTCATAAGTTTCAGGAAATTCTAGCCAAGTACTTTCTGTAGTTTGTAGTAATTGCTGTATTATTAAAGCCAATAAAATCATATCAAATTTAATAATAAATAAGCTTTGACTTCATGTTTGTGATTTGATATTAGTATAATGATTTTTATTATTAGGGTAATAAGGAGTAGGGTAAGTTGAGACTCAAGGTCCAGATAAAGGGCAAACATTTTATTTTCTTACTGTCTTTCCTTTCCATCCCTTTCCTTTTTCATTTTTCCTTTCTTTTCCTTTTTCTTTCTTTCTTTTTTTGATAAGGGCCAGTAACAAGTATTTTAAGCTCTTTCGGTTCGTAGTGTCATTGATGCTTAGCTAATTCTATGCTAACATGAAAGCAACTATAAGTATTAGGTATACATTTGGGTATCACTGTATTCCAACATACTTTATGCAAAAGGCTGGAGGCCATACGTGATTAGTTTGCTGACTTCTTGTATAGTTCACTGGGTATAATTTATTAGTATAACTTTGGCATGTCTTAAAGGATCACCAGCTGAATTCTTACTTTATAGTAGAAAGAAGATTCTCTGTTTTTTTTTTAACATACACCTGGTGTGGTATACTCCTTGCCCCCTGTTCTCTCTCTCTCTGTCTCTCTTTTGATTTATTTTTGATTTACTTGAGTGGCAGAGGAAGAAGGAGGAGAGAGAGAGATTTTGGTCTTGATCTTGATTCTCTGTCCTCTGGTTAGATGTCCGAGTGGGTACAACAGCTGAGGCAGGGGCTCAGCCAAAGCCCAGGCCTCGCCCATGGGTGTAGGGACCCAGGCACTCGTCCCTTGCCAGGAACCTCACCAGAAGCTGCACTGGACATGGAGCAGCGTGTCTTGAACCAGACAGAGGCTTAGCCACAGACTGGTATGGGTGGGCATTCTTTTTAAGTATTCAACTTTAAATATAAAACCAAGGATGGCCTTACATTAATTGCTTTTTAAATCATTTAAATGCTCAGACAGCGATAAGTTTTAAATACATCTTTAGGTAGGTAAAGTGAGGTACACCACTGTGAGCCAAGTTCTTGAATGTTCCTCCTTGCGCAGCACAGACTGAGAGGTGTGGTTCTTGGCTTTGAGAAGGTGCGAGGGAGCGCGGGAGTTGGGCTTTCCTCTCGCGGTCTCCCTTGCCCCGTTGTGTGACGTTGCTAGTGATCTGCTCTTAAGCTGGCAGCGTTCAGGGGCGGGTGCGGCAGGTGGCAGTTAAAGGTAGAACTGGGCACTTTCACAGCGTGGACTTTAAACGATGTTAACTTTATATTCCTCTGCTGAATAGACCTTATAAAGACCTTGTCATTGTGAACTGGTAAGCTTTGATTTTTGGGTCAAGGGACCTCTTGGTTGCCTTAGGCTTGTTTTGTCCCTTCTGGGTGATTTTGTAGAAAAGAGAAAAAGAGCTGTTTGGTTTTGTTTCAGGTATAATCATGTTGGTTGGCTGGTTACTAGGAAAAGACATCCTGGAAATGTTTACTATTAGTGTGAGGTAAGTTCGAGTACTTTGTTTATAAATGATGTCTCTCTTATGTCTCTAATAGACATAGTTTAAATTACATATGAATGCATAAGAATATGAAGGTATTTGAGAAAATTTCCTGGGACAGAAAGTTATTTTGCTGAAATAATTATGAAATTGATACATAATTTTTCAAAATAGACAGCTTACCTAAACTCCTTTTTTTAAAGATTTACTTATTTTGGGGGGACTGACTGTGGCCCAGCAGGCTAATCCTCCACCCTGTGGTGCTGGCATTCCATATGTGTGCTGGATCGCGTCCCAGCTGCTCCACTTCCATTGCAGCTCTGCTCTTTATGGCCTGGGACAGCAGTGGAGGATAGCCCAAGTCCTTGGGATCCTCAGCCCACAGGAGGTTTGAATGAAGCTCCTGGCCCCCAGCTTTGACTAAGCTCACTTCTGCCTGTTGTAGGGGGGTGGGGAGGAATGGGTGTTTGTTTGTTTAAGGTTTGTTTATTTTTACTAAAAAGGCAGATTTACAGAGAGAGGAAAGAGACAAAGATCTTCCATCTGCTGGTTCACTAAGCAGCTGTAACAGCTGGAGCTGAGCCAGTCTAGAGCCTGAAGCCAGGAGTTTCATGTCAGATACATATGTAACCTTCAAATCCAAGAATAGTATTGTTTGAATTAATTGAAAATTTCTATTGCCGTTTTTAATAAATTCTAAATTAATGAATGGTCTGAATGGCAAATTGAAATATTGAAAATGTTCATTTTATGTAGATTACAAATGATGATACTTGTGGTTTTTTTTGGGTACAGTGGGGGTTCATGGCAGTGTTGGAGCAGCCTGGCCATTAGAGCTAGGAAGCTTGTCTTCAAGTAACCTGGGAGAGGAGGGAGTGTGAGTGAGACCCTGTCCGACGCCCTACCCCATGACTGCTGATTGCGCTTTGTTCACCCATTGTTTCCATTTCAGCCACACTCTAAACAAAGCATGGAAACCTCGATGATTAAGGCTGTGGTATGATTGCATAAGAGGATTTTAGTGACACTAAATAGATCTTAGTAATGGAAAAAATAGTTGATAAAAATGAAGAAGAGTATCAGCAAGGTCAGGGCAGAATGGGGGCAGGAATGTTTGTGTCTTGTGTGGATTAAAGTGGAGAGCTGATACTTAGACTAGTACTGAAATGAAACTTCCATGTTTGTAAGTGATGAAGGGATGTGATGAGATCAATTTTTGATGAAATAAAAGTTTCCATTTCCCAGTGTGCAGTTCAGTGGGATTAGGTATATCCCGGGGCTCACCATGGCCACTTGCAACCCCACGATGCTTCCGGCACCACGAGGCGGTCCTTGTCACCTTCCTTCCCTTTCCCGCCTTGGCTGACATGGCATTTCGTGTCTGCCTTCCTGTTCTAGTGTGTTTTCCCTGTTAATCCATGTATTAGTGCTTCATCCCTTTTTAAGTATTTTAATTTTATTTGAAAGACAGTATTACCTAGAAGGCGAAACAAAGATCTTCCATCTGCTAGTTCACTCCCCACTGGCCAGATGGCCAGACCTGGGCCAATCCGAAGCCAGGAGCTTAGAATTTCTTCCAGGTCTCCCTCATGGACGCACGAGCCTCAAGTACTTGGGCTGTCTTCTGCTGCTTTCCCAGGTCATAAATAGGGAGCTGGTTTAGGTGGAGGCTTAGCTTACTGTACCACACTGCTGGCCACCAGCATTTGATTGCTTTTTATATAGCTAAATGCTATTCCAGTGTGTGGATACCACAACTGTACCTTCTTCGGTTGTGTATTTGGTCTGCTTCCATCTTTTGGTTGCTGGAAATAGTACTGATATGAACATATTGATATGTAAGTTTTTTCTCAACTGTGTTATTTTGTATACTTTATAGGGTAAGCTTACCTTCATAGATGGATTAATGAGTAGCCTAGTGTTCAACAACTAGAAGTGAAACCATGAGTAAAAACAAAGGCAGTTTGACGTCAGCACCGCTTAGTGTGACAGTGTGTGTGCAGTAAATGACTCTCCACGTTCCTTTATTTTGTTGGCACTTGACAGTATCACTTTTGCATTCTGTCAGGCTTTATTTTAACTAGTGTGCCGTCCACGTCAGTGGCTACTGCTTAGCTGGGATTTTACTGTTGTGTGTGTGTTTGGTTCCAGTTTGGCTGTAGCAGCAATTCCTGAAGGTCTCCCCATTGTGGTCACCGTGACACTGGCCCTTGGGGTTATGAGAATGGTGAAGAAAAGGGCCATTGTGAAAAAACTGCCTATTGTTGAAACCCTGGGTAAGTCTGTGGCAAGCACAAGCAAAGACGCTGAGGTAACTCGTGTCAGCAGTTTACGGTTTTTTGTTTTGGAGGTAACCTAATGATATTTGGCCTGTGGCAAATTTGGATATGGTTTAAACAACTAGAAGCAGTGAAAAATTTGCCTTTACAGGCAGGATTTTATAAAAAAAATCATTCTGCCTTGAATATTCTGTTGCTTAAATCAAATTAAAAATCCATACAATAGATTAAACTATGGGGTAAAATTAATAGAATTTTTTTCTTTTGACATTGCAATGAAGTGATGATAATTGCTATTCCCAGATGCTACCTTTGAATTGAATATGCCTATAATGGAGTAAGTAAACAATAGTTATATTGTACTGTATTTTTGCAATAATTGTGAAACTGTTTTTTTTTTAATGTTCAGTTTTAATATTGAGGAAGTGAAATACCTTGAAAAATCCTTGCTGAAGAAGTTGCAGGCATTTGTTTATAATAGAGTAACCTCCAAACTTTGTAGAAAATTTATTACATAAAATCCAATTTTTATGTTTAATTTCAGAAGCTTTACTTTATGTTGACTCAAGCATGAAGAGAAGTTAATCTAAAATCACTGCTAAGCTTGAGTTCTACCAAGCTGAGAGAAGTGGGACGAGGTTTCATGAGTCCTTGCTTTGTTTCCTAAGAGAGCCCTGGCCCTGTGGTGACGTGTGATGATTTCCTCTTTAGGCTGCTGTAATGTGATTTGCTCAGACAAAACTGGCACATTGACAAAGAACGAAATGACTGTAACACACATATTCACTTCAGAGGGTCTACATGCTGAGGTACTCTTTAGTTTGTTTTGTTTTAAAATAATATACCTCTAGTGTTGAACAGTCTTAAATGATTTCAATGTCATTCCTGTGAAAGACCTGTGGATTAGCAGTTTTTTCTATTACATGTGCTTGTTTAATGTAGAAATTCCTGATTCCTGCCTTTTCGTTAGCCCTCCTTCCCCAGATCTTGCCAGCTTGAGTCTCCCGAGTAGCTTTGCTAGCCCTCACATTAACAGCAGCTTCCTTAGTGCCTCCTGAGTCATTTCTCACCTGCCTCCTGGTGTTCCCGTCGCACTTCCGGGGGGGCCTTGGAGAGCCAGATTGCAATCGCTGGTCTCTAAGTCGCTGCGTGCTTTGTCCTTGTTGCGTTTCCTTCTCCAGCCTCGGTTATTGCCCTTTGGTTTCTGGGCTCCGGATCCACTGGCTGTGACATGTTTTCAGACTGACAGTCCCTCCAGTGAGGAGCCTCTGCTGCGGCTCTCCCTGTGCTCCCTCTTCTGCCTCTGGGTCCCAGCCCCAGCCCTGGCACTGGCACTGCAGCGTGCCATCCTTGTGTCTCCATCCCTCCCACTAAGCCTTTGTCCCAGTGGTTTCCGGCCCCTGTTTCTCTTAGAGACTGAATTATTCGAAAGCAGGAGCTGTACTGATAGCTCAGGGCTTCCATTCACAGTAGTAAATACTTGAATAGATACATGAGGGCGTGCGTTGTTTTCGAGGTTGTGTATGCACGGTGTTTTGAGTGTCTGTCCCTGTGGTGTGGTTCTTTGTGCTGTTGATTCCAACCCAGGCTCTTAACCCTCCTACTCATTGCAGGATTTTTGATTGGGATGCGGGTAGCACTACTTATGGTGGATACAGAGGTTTAGAATGAATTTACAGCTGACATGCACAGTGGGATTTGCATTGCGCAGTTGGCAGAACAAGGACGTGGGTGTGTTATGTCTGATTGCCCAGGCCTTTGCGGGAGACTTAGGGCAGGGATACGCAGTGCTGCGCTGGTGGATGTCCGCGCTGTTAGCGAGTCCTTCGGGTTGGTTTCATGTCCTTACACAATCTGGACATGGAAGACAGGAAACTGGTTTCTCTTTTGTTTTGAGATCATCATTTTATATGTCAAGCATTAACATTTGTCCATTGTTCTCTTCTTAAACTGTATTATTTTTGTTGTGAAATTTTTGCTTGACTGAGCTTGTTCTTGCTAGATGGAATAAGTGTATGTCTTGTTTCCACCTCTGCACTTGAAAAGCAGCATGTAGCATGTTGTGTTAAGGTGGTCTGGCATGTAGCATGTTGTGTTAAGGTGGTCTGGCATGTAGCATGTTGTGTTAAGGTGGTCTGGCATGTAGCATGTTGTGTTAAGGTGGTCTGGCAAGGGCTAGGGTTGCTCTCTAACCTCTGAACCTACATATTTGCATAATGAATCTGCTTGTGTCTGAGCCACAGGTTTATTTTGAATATTAGATGTGGTAATATATTTTAGTTCTTTGCAGATGAGTTTCCCGTGAAGTGTAATGTTTTATAAACTTAAGCTCACGCAGATGGGCTGTTCTCTTGACCTTTTTATAGTTTATTGAAGTAGAAGCTGGTATCTTTTTAGATTAACATTGTGGGAATCTGCGCGTCTCCAGGTTTTCCGAGGCGTACGCTTTAGCAGTGTTGTGACATATACTGCAAAGTACTCATAGCTGTTGTGGTTTGGCTCTCATATGTCTTGTGACTGTAATGTTGTCCCTCAGGTCACTGGTGTTGGCTATAATCAATTTGGAGAAGTGATCGTTGACGGTGACGTCGTTCATGGGTTCTATAATCCAGCTGTTAGCCGAATTGTTGAGGTAAATGCTTGGTTCTCCAAACACTGTCTGTTCCCGACTATAGGCAAGGTGGCGGGTTCATGGTGTCGCTGGCTTTCTCCTAGGCGGGCTGCGTGTGCAATGATGCCGTCATTCGAAACAACACTCTGATGGGGAAGCCGACAGAAGGCGCCTTGATCGCCCTTGCAATGAAGGTACGTGTCTGCCCTGGCCTCTCTTCTGTGACCATGAACTGTCACCCTCGGGAGCGATGGAAGACCATCAATTTCAGTTTTACTGATTTTGAGGTTTTGAATAATGAAGGATTAATATATATTCTTACTTCCTATTGGAAACCAGGCATTAAGTTTATTATAACTTTATTTCTTGCAAACTACAGACTAATTCTTATTATGAGGGAATAGCCTGTCTCCCAGCATATGGACATCATTGTGTAAAAACTTTATGTATGCTAACTAATAAGTACAAATTAGTAAATGAGTAAATGGCATTGTTTTTGGTATTTCCAGGATCTAAATGAAAACATGAGAAATTTGTTTTTCTAGTCTTGCCCTTCCCCTGTTCATCAACTTCTCAAAAGTGACTGTAGTGTTAAAATTTGTATTAGGGGGCAGAGGTTAAGTCACCCCTTGGGATGCCACCTGAGGTGGAGTGCCCATCTGAGTTCTGCCTCTTGTGCTTCCTGCCAGTTTCCTGCTGATGTGCTCCGGGTAGGAAAGCAGTGGGTGGAGGATCAAGTGCTGCAGGTCCTGCCACCTCCAGGTGGTCTTCCTGGCTCCACACATAGGCCAGTTTCTCTCTCTCCTTTTCAGATAAATACGTTTTTTAAAAAGTTAGCTGTACTGGGGAGAGAGGTTGTTTTCTCAGTGACTTTTTCATCTGTACGACTTAGTTTTATCTCTAAAATTCTGTACGTGATACATTGAGAAACCTGATAGTTTTGGGATTTATGTTTCCTGAGAGAATGAGATATTACTTTATTATCTGATTTCCTTGTAAATAAAATGACATACTATGGCTTTCACTTGTTCAACACGTGACTACTTGTTGTTGCGTATAGATGGGCCTCGATGGCCTTCAGCAGGACTACATCCGGAAAGCGGAGTACCCGTTCAGCTCGGAGCAGAAGTGGATGGCTGTTAAATGTGTGCACCGAACCCAACAGGTATCCTTGTATTTTGTTTAAAGACCTCTATTCTATTTCTGATACATGACTTTAATATCTACCTTTACAGTCCTTACGCCTGAAAGACGTGTCACTTTTGTGAGTGTCTGCTAAGCACAGCCTCATCTCTTGCCTTCCTGCTGCACTGGATGCTTTTTTCTTACAGAATGCCAGTGTAGGGGGACTTAGTTTCGCTCTGAGCAAGCACTTCAGTGCCCTCTGGCCTGGGCTCCCGGTACTGGAGTTCACTGCGATCATGGTCCTGCTGAGATCTCTGCCGAATGTTTTCAATCTGTGTGTTTTGCTGAAGGACTATCTTGTCTCAATAAAAATAAACCCACATGTTTTGTGGAAAAGCTGTTCAGATGTTTTTGTAAATTATGTTAATTGATCAAGTTTCCAAACTGACCAGATGGTGTCTGCTGATTACCTCACGCTGCCGCCTTGATCCGGGGTGCCTGTAGATGTGTGTGCAGTTGGTGCAAAGAGAATTGTGAATTTCTGCAGTGCCTAACTGCGTCACTCACAGTTACTGCCAGTCTCGTGCTTAAATTTACTTTGCTCTTAAAAGATAAATGTGTTATTTTTGTATTTCCTTGAATTTAAATGAATATTTAGTTGTATGCTAACCTTTAAACAGACGCTTTGAAATCAATTACATCTCTTTAGAAAGAAATGAGTAAATAAGTTCCTTTCCCCCCGCGTGCTGGGTAGGGAGTGTATTGGTTTTGAAAGCAAAGCATGTTGACTTCACATTGAGTTGATAAGCAGAAGCCTGCCAGCAACTCCATATTCTTGAGGGGTAAATGAAGAATTTTTTATGCATAGATTTCAAAAACTTAAATTTATCTCTTAAGTGTTGGTTTTCATGGAGTTTTGAAGTCTCCTGACATGGCAGAAATGTATACTTCATTGTTTTTTCCCTCATGGATCTGTCTCACTTCTGCATCCGCACAGCGTGCTTCAAGGTCATGAAGTTCATGTGGTGGTGAACAGTTTGACTTCTCCGTGATTGTGAAACTGGCCTTGCGCAGTGTTTCAGTTGTGAAAATAGGGCACAGACTGTGACAGCAAATGGATTTGGAAATACTGTGTCTTCTCTTTGCCAAACTGGAGAGTTTCTGTTGCTATACAGAGCCAGCCTACCAAATGGACAGAACCCAAACCCACAGTGCCTTTGGGTCTAGATTAGTGCAGGTCGGGTACAGCAGAGGCAGACCCGACTAACCTAAAAACAGCTCCAGTGGCTCAAATAGTTTTTATATGACTTTCACTTAAACTTCACAATATACATTTATCTGTACCTTGTCCTTAGAACCTTCCAAAAAATCACCTCCAAGCCCAGGATTCCATATGGATGCTGGTTCTAATCCTGGCAGCCCTGCTTCCCATCCAGCTCCCTGCTTGTGGCCTGGGAAAGCAGTCAAGGACGCCCCAAAGCCTTGGGACCCTGCACCCATATGGGAGACCCGGAGGAGGCTCCTGGCATTGGATTGGCTCAGCTCTGGCTGTTGCCATCGCTTGGGGAGTGAACCAGTGGATGGAAGATCTTTCTTTCCTTCTTTCCGTAAATCTTCCTCTCCAATAGAAAGGACGTAAATCTTTTTTAAAAATACAAACTAATAAAAAAGGGAATAAAAGGTACAAACTCCAAGAGAAAATATGTGAAGGCTGTGGGGCCAGGTACTATGAAGGTGTGAGTTTGAAATAGGAGAGAAAAAGCTTGGCGAGAGTTGGGGTGACTAGGGAACAGTCACTGTCCGAAGGGTAGGTCTCTCCTGGGTATTCTCTGGGCCTTCTGAGGAAGTATACACAGATAGCACTCTGCCCTTTCCCTGAGAGTTTCTACCAAGCTGGGTGGTGCCAGGGAGGTTTCTCCTGTGAGGTGGCACCTCCTAGTTGAGCTCTGTCTTCTGTGGGAGCTTACTCATTTGTGGGCGTCATGCTAGTGAGGTCTACCAGTTGATTAACTGGTAGTGCCTGTGTAGTTTTTAGTCCTTGAATGATTCATTCCTAAATGGAAGAGGACAAGCAGAGATTGCTAAATCTTTGGGGAAAAATGAAAGATACAGACCAAACAGAATGAGGTTTCAGAGAAACTGTGATAATACTGGATGCTGAAAAAAAATTTCCAAGACCACAAAAACTTGACAGCAGGATGTATTCATTAGTGCTCTTATGAAATCAGTCAAGGACTTGAGAAGAACGGGTAACTAAGTCAGAAGGCTGGACAACGTAAGAAGTGGAAAAAGCAGAAAATGGAAGCTAGTTTATCTAATGGAAGAGAGAGCAGAAAAAGGCAAGATTTTATCAAATAGTGCTTGAAAGCTTAGAGTATGGGAAGACTTCCATTTATGGAATATAGTGGATGACCCACAGTTGAGCATAGTATGTTGAAAGGGAGTGAGTTGGGAAGAAAATAACCAAGCTCATAATTAAACAAACAAACAAAAATGAGGAAATTTGCGAGAAATAGAATTTGAAAAACCTTTTATTTTAAAATTGTTTTTGTATTTTAAAAAATGTATTTTAGAGGCAGATTTATTTTTTTTTTAAGATTTATTTATTTTTATTGGGAAGTCAGAAATACAGGGAGGAAGAAGGAGAGAAAGATTTTCCATCTGCTAACTCACTCCCCAAGTAGCCACAAGAGCCAGAGCTGAGCTGAGCTGAGCTGAAGCCAGGAGCCTCTTCCCAGTCTCCCATGTGGGTGCAGGGTCCCAAGTCTTTGGGTCATCCTTGACTGCTTGCCCAGCCCACAAGCAGGGAGCTGGATGGGAAGCAGGGCCGCCGGGACATGAACCTGCATCCATATGGAATCCCAGCATGTGCAAGGCAAGGACTTCAGCCATTAGGCTACCATGCTGCGCCCTGAACTTTTTTTTTTAAAAGGTTTGTTTATTTTTGTTGGAAAGGCAAGTTTACAGAGAGAAGGAGAGACAGAAATCCTCTGTCTGCCGGTTCATTCCCCAGGCAGTCGCCATGGCTGGAGCTGCACTGCTGGGCCCCACATGAGTGCAGTGTCCCAAGGCTTTGTGCCTTCCTCTGCAAATATGTACAAGTTGAAGTTAAAATTGTATATTGTATGTTCTTTTTTCCCCTAGGACAGACCAGAGATTTGTTTTATGAAGGGCGCTTATGAGCAGGTGATTAAGTACTGCACCACATACCACAGCAAAGGGCAGTCCTTGATGCTGACGCAGCAGCAGAGAGATCTGTACCAAGAGGAGAAGGCGAGAATGGGCTCAGCAGGGCTCCGAGGTAAGGCCTCTGGACCCGTCTCATGGAGGGTGGGGTGTGTGCTGGCACTTGCAGGTGAATTCTGCTTTCACCGTGGAGCTGTCCAGCTCCACTCTGGACTTTATAGAATGCTTGCCATTTGTGAGGTATTACATTGCAGTTGACCAACAGCCACCCCTAAAATAGAAAGCTAATAATGTGGCAAAATGTCTCCGGTTCTTGGAGAGCTGCAGTGGTCTGTGGATAGATCGAAGAAACTTTATTTTAAACACATTGATTTGGTTGAGAGTTATGTGGATCACGGTTAGATATTGCTCTTTATTTTCTCACTTTAGTCTTACTTGTTGACAGAAGGGAAACTACTCCTTTAAATTTTGCAACTTTAACTTGTCCTTTAAAATAGAGGGTTGTTATCCTGATCCTCGGCTGTGCCTCTCTTCAGTTGCCATTCAGCAGGGAGGTGAAGCCGTGCCCGGAGACGTAGGTGTGTGCTGCTGGCGGAGCAGCGCAGGGCGGGCAGGGCGGGCAGGGCGGCTGGGTGCCGCAACCCTTCGGGCCACCTGCTGTGGGCTCAGGCAGGCGCTGAGCTGCGTCGGGTTCTTTGCCTGCTGGGTCGTTTCCCAGCTTGTGCAGAGTGTGTGTAGAAACGTAGTCTCCTAGATAATTGGAAGAGTTGGCCTCCTTAGTTTTTTGATTTTACTGCGGTGGAATACAAATGCTGCAGTTTGGGGAAGCAACAGGTTTATGTGAAACATGTTCTTACTTATGATAGTTCATTTAACGTCATTCTCTGAGTTTACACCTTTGGACAGACCCATTGTACTTGTCCCTCCGTCATAAGCCGGCTTTGGAGAGGTGCTCGGAGGTGGGTCAGCACTGCACTGCTTGTTGCCGTACTCGAGGGCCAGCCCACAGAGGGGCCTGAGCGGCCCCCTCCTGCCGCCCTTTCTGCAGATGGCTTCACTGTAATTGTCCCCAAACCTGACATTGTATCTCCAAGGAAATGCGAATGAAGCCCTCTGGAGGGTTCTGTTTCCAAATGGGCTTTTTTTTTCATGAAAGGTTTTTTTTTTTTTTTTTTAAAAAATATCCTTTTCTCCTTGTTTCCTCCTTAGTCTAAGGGAGTTTGAAGTCAGGTCTCCAGGCTCTCCGGGGTCTGTTTCTGCAGACTTGCATCCTGATCATGTCTGAGTCTCCGGCTCAGCCCTCCAGTTAGCACGCCAGGGTCAGGGCAGAGTCTCCTGACATCAACTCTGAGTGAGAGGAAACTCTTCTGGTTCAGCTGGGCCAGACTTAATGGTGTTAGGAGCCGTGAGAACAAAGTTTTTTATAAATTCAGTAAATTCATCGAGCAAATAGATGTCACTTGCGCTCCAGAGAAGTGGGCACGTGTGGGCCCTGTGTGCTGTACTGCATCTGATCTGTGGACAGCCCGACCTTCTGCGGCCATGCTGTGGAAAGTTCAGGTTTACTGGCTCAGTAACAGACCTCCCTGCCCCTGTTACCTTCCCCTCCCTTCCCTCCCCCGCGAGTCTAGGGAAGGAAAAAGCCCCCTTGGGAAGGAGATCGACATTGTTAAGGTGGCCCCGGGTTACAGCTCTTAGAGCAAGGGGGCGTTCAGGAGACCAGGACGACTACAGGGAGTCCTGGTTGCTGTAGCCAGCGTGAAGGACCATGGACGGCTCCTCTGAGTTACCCCGGAAGTCGGGGATGGAGGCCTGTTGCTCCAAGCAGTCTCCGTACTTGCTGATATCTGGGGTTTCATCTGTCCCTTTTTTCTTCAAGATTTATTTATTTATTTGGAAGAGCTACAGAAAGGGAAGACAGAGAGCTTCCATTTGCTGGTTCATTCCCCAAATGATTACAATATCTGCGACTAGGCCAGGCCAAAGCTAGGAAATTGAAACTCTAGCTGGGCTTCCTCATGGGTGGCAGGGACCCCGGGGTTTAGGCCGTCTCATACCGCTTTCCCAGGCATCTGCTGAGGGGCTAAATTGGAAGTGGAGCAGCTGGAATTCAAGCTGGAGCCCCAGGTGGGATGCTGGTGTCATAGTGGCTTAACACAGCTCTGTCCCCGAGCCCTAAGATCTGCTTTTACTAAGATGTACTTAAAAGTAAGGAAACAAAATGCTACCTTTCCGTTACTTGGGCTTCTGGGATGTCATTACCTCTGCTTTGCTGGGTTAATTTCTAATGACCGAATAAGCATTCAGCAGTGTGTCCCACTCCCCCCACCTCCTCCCTGAGAAGGGCAGCCACTTGCCTTCTAACACGTTCCCGCAGGATGAGCGTTGGCGTCCATGCACAGCCTTCCAGACGCTGAAGATGAGCTGTGTGCTGTTTCCCATTGAGTTTGGAAGTTAACCACCTTGTGTTTTCATTTTCATTTTTGCTATTTTCATCAGGAGGATAGTAGAGCCGTGCTTGTGTGTGTGTGTGTGTGTGTGTGTGTGGGTTTTGTGTCTCAGCATTGAGTAGACCAGCGGGGAGAGGAGGATGTGTGCTGCCCAGGGCTTGGCGAGGCGTCCTCCTCTTTGGATCCTCTCTCGTCTCTGTCTTCTGCTTGCATTACACTCTTTCCCTGCGATTACTGCAGTAAAGAGCGGAAAGATCTTCAAATTCCGATTGATGCTTATGTTCTGTCTTAACAAAGCTGAAGTTTCACAGAACACATGTCGTCCTTTAACATATTGTTTTGTGTCCCTTCACACAAGGAAAGTTAACCAGCTCATGGCTTGAAGAGTAACAGTAGATTCTATTTGTGCTCAAGAAGCAGATAACAGGCTGCCAAGGTTCATCTGGCGTCCCTGGCCTCCCTCGCTGCCACCCCCTGGCTCAGTGCTAGAGGCTGTCGGCCGGCTCACTCCTTCCACCCAAACGCTTTGGGCGCCCACAGCTACCAAGTAATTGGGCAGATACTGAGTTAATTACCTTTTATTTGTTTTTTCAAGTACATTTCATCCTCCATACCTTCTGTTGGAACCAAAATAGATAACTTTGGGCTTTCTTAGATTATTCAGTCCCCCATGAGGTGTTTGTTTAGTCTGTGCTTCTCTGTGGGTGTGTATGCTTATTAAGTCGTTGAGCCTGATGTTTCACATGCAGGCACATCTCTGGGTTGTTAAACTGGAGGCTTCCAAATTGTCAGGGGAAGATAATGACATTTGGGGAATTCGTAGTACTGTGTGCTGTGCAGTACATGCCCAAGGATGACAGGAAGCTAACTCTAAATAATGATTTGGTGAGCTTTTTGTCTGGGAACCAAAGTTAAAGATAAAATATGCCTGTTGTATTGTGGAAAGAGTGAAAGTCCCAATTTTCATGGCATGAATGGCTGAACAGCTGTTGTGCAGATTAACTTCATGTCCCAGGGTTTTTCATGTAGAAAATTGTGTAAGGCTGTGTGTAATTAATGCAGCCTTTTCCTCAGGCTGTTGGATTACCTGGAGACCATTGAAATGGAAAGAGGAGAAACACTAGAAGCCACCTGCAAAGGTGTCTGTTTAAAATTTATTTTGAAGCCTGACAAACCCATAGCTTCTCTAAATATTTTCTGAAGAAGCAGCAGTGTGTGTTGCAAGTAGCTGCATGTGGTTGCTATGCAAAAACATTCTTCATTCTCCCTCCCTTGCTGTCTTTGCTTAACAGTTCTTTACTTTTATTCTTTTTAATTTTTAATAGCTTAAAGCAACCTTGTATTTAGAACCATTAAACTTAATGTCTTGGCATGTAATTTTTAAATATTATGTAATAACTACAAGTGCTGTTAGAGTCAAGTAACTTATCAGTGAAATTTTAATGTTTTTGTGAAACTCATATTTTCTTTGTCTCCTAAGTTCTTGCTTTGGCGTCTGGCCCTGACCTGGGACAGCTGACATTTCTTGGCTTGGTGGGAATCATCGATCCTCCCAGAACTGGCGTGAAAGAAGCTGTTACAACTCTCATCGCCTCGGGAGTGTCCATCAAAATGATCACCGGGGACTCGCAGGAGACTGCCGTCGCAATCGGTACCCGGCCGCTGCTGTCCGGAGCCTTCTAAAGGATAGGGCTGGGAGCCATGAGATAGGAAGTGTACTGAGATATGAGAGAATAGAACTCACCTTTGGCTCACAAGACTATAAAATTTTGGTCCCAAATCAGTTTTTTGTTTGAAAGGTAGAATTTTATTGAAAATAACAGCCAAATTCTCATTACATTACATAATGTTTTATTCCATGAAAGTTTTTGTTGCTATTGTTAAAGATTTTCATTTATTCATTTGAAAGTTAGAGCTACAGAGACAAGGGGGATAGAGAGCCATCCCGTCTCATGATTCTCTTCCCCAGGTAGCCCTAATGACGGGCTACGTTAGGCTAAGCCAGGAGCCAGAAGCTTCTCCACTGGGTAACAGGGGCTAGGTGTTTAGTCTGCCCTCCCTGTGTCCAGGCCATCAGGGGAGCATCAGAAGTGGAGCAGTTGGGACAGGGACTGGCACCCATATGGGATGCCGGAATCTCAGGCAGTAGCTTTAACCGCCATACCACAACCCAGGTTCCCAGTTAAAGTTTTTGTTTTAAATTTAGTGATCTGGGCTGGCCGTTGGAAATTTTAGATCAAGAATGTGAAAGGAGGGCCCGGTGCAGTGGCGCAAGTGGTTAAAGTCCTCGCCTTGCACGCCCAGGATCCCATATGGGCGCTGGTTCTATCCCGGCAGCCCCGCTTCCCTTCCAGCTCCCTGCCCGTGGCCTGGGAAAGCAGTCGAGGACGGCCCAAAGCCTTGGGAACCTGCACCCGCGTGGGAGACCTGGAAGCAGCTCTGAGTTTCTAGCCTTGGATTGGCTCAGCTCTGGCTGTTGTGGCCATTTGGATAGTGAATCAGTGGATGGGAGATCTCCCTTTTTGTGTTTCCTCCTTTCTGTGAATCTGCCTTTTCAGTAAAAAATAAGTAAATATAAAAAAGAAGAGTTAAAAAAAATGATTTAAAAAATTGTGAAAATTGAGCTATGAAATGGAACCTCATGGGCCTAGTTTTAGTTCTTAGATTGCTTAAATTGTGAAAACACTGTTCTTGAATTTAAGTAATAATAGTTAAGGAAAAGCCCAAGACTTAGTAGTAATTTGGATAGCTTTGTTTTACCAGTATTTCGTTCTATGGTCTCTTGATATAAAGATACTTTATACTTACAGAGCGTAGATACTGAATGTTATTAAAGGAGAGTTAATGTTGATGGGCTTATTAGGCAAAACAATTTCGTTAATTATATCTTTTCTTTTTTCATTTAGCAAGTCGTTTGGGATTGTATTCTAAGACTTCCCAGTCGGTTTCTGGAGAAGAAATAGATGCCATGGATGTCCAACAGCTCTCACAGATTGTGCCCAAGGTAGGTCGGCAGGAGAGCCGGGGGAGGGCAGACCCTGCTGCATACCTCGGGGTGCTGAGAGCCTGGCACATGACCACATAGTGCCCAGGGTAGGTTGGCAGGAGACTGGGGAGGGCAGACCTCAGGGTGCTGAGGGCCCGGCACGTGACCACATTGTTGGTCGAAATGCTGAAATGAAATCTAATCGTTGAAACAGGTTTGTCATTGAGTTCTTATGAGATTGTCAGCATCGTGACATGTTAGTAGCTTTAGTTTCCTCTGAGGAAAGTATTAGGGAAATAAAAAAGTACTTAATAGATAAGAAGATGGAGAGACTAAAATTTTCTTGTCACTTTTTATGTGTTAAGTTTAACGTGAATATATATATTATAATTTTACAGATCACAATGTCTTTGTATGCAGTAGGACTTACCCTTTTTAGCATATGGTTTAAAATATTGACATGTAATTGCTGCTTCCTAAAGCTCATGGTCAAGTTATAGAACATTTCCATTATTCCCCAAGGACTATTAGGCCTGTCTCCTTCTAGCACTGGTCGGCCAGCTGAGGTGGTGTGTGTGTGTGTGTGTGTGTGTGTGTGTGTGTGTGTGAATTGTTTGGTTGAAAGTCAGAGAATTGAGGTACTGTAGGAGTAGCTGGGGCTCGAACCAGCGCCTGCGTGGGCTGCTGCTGTCCTGACTGGCCCCATCTGCTCTCTCTGCTTGTAGTCAGCGTCTTCCCACAGGGCACTCAGAGCGGAATCATGCAGTGTGGAGCTATCGACCAGCTTCCTCGCCTGGTGTAGTACATGGGAGATTGATCCGCGTTGGTGGCAAGCAGTAGTTGCTTGTTCTTTTAATATCGATGAGTAGTAGCCTGCGTGGGCATGCCTCATCTGTTTGCCCGTTTGAGGGCATTTGGGTTGTTTGCAGTTCTTGCTGATAATATAAAGTAGTGTGCACATTTGGTACAGGTTCTTCCATGACAGGAAATGTTTCTTAAGAATAAATACCTGTGACTGCGTGCTGGGTCATGGGTTACTGCATATTTGTAAGAAACGAGGTGGTCCTGTTCTGAATCCCTCCGATGTTTCTAAGCTTGCATCCTCTCCAGAACACGGGATTGTGGCTTTTCTCCTGTTTTCCGAGTAGGTGTACATTTGTATCTCTCACACTTAATGATTTGAATATTTGCACAGGTTGATTTGTCATCTTCTCTAGTGAAATGTTACACTTTTTTTTAAGAATTGTTTGTTAATGGAATTTGAGTTCTTTAATATGTTTGTTATGGCTACCTCCTTTTTCAGATGTAGGATTTGAAAATACGTCTTCCCAGTCTGTGATTTGTCTTTTTATTAAGGTTGATTTTCCGAAGAACGGGGAGTTTCAGTTTTGATGGAGTTGGGTATCACCTTCTATTGCACCTTGTCTTTCTCTTGACTCTATGCCCAGTTTTTTTGCATGTGGTTTTTCAACTGCTCAGCTCCAATTATTGAAAAATAGTTTGACTATGGTGCCTTTTAGCGGAGATTGTAGTGCTTTTTCAGCACATGATTTAGCGGGGAAGGATGCTGTGTCCCTTGTCGCACGCAGCACAGTAGCTTCTTCAGAAGCAGGCTCTCTGAGGGGCCGTTGACCTACGGCTGCTCTGCGGCCACTGGAAGAAGCCTGTGTGGGCCCACACAGATATCTCGGGGACCCTCCTCCCCTCCCCATCTTTATGAGATGGGGTGTTTGTTATTTCCATTAACTCACAGTTCAGATTTCTTGTTCTCATTGCCACTTGACTTCTGCATATGTTTGTAGCCAGGGACGTTAGAATGTTTGTGAAAAATGAAATTAAAAAAGAAGCTTATTTTAGTGCCATCCACTTTATATAGATAGTTGTATTTCCTCCTTATGGGAATTGTTCCATTAAAAAAATCGTTTTTTAGTAGAAACAGGGAGAGTGCTGGAACCTGATGAGTGACTCCCTAAGTGGCCAGCAGTGGCTAGGATTGGGAAGAGCTGAATTTGCGAACAAGGGGCTCGATCCAGGTTCCCCATGGGAGACACAGGAACGCTGAGGCCCTGGAGGCAGCATGATCTTGGCTTTCCAAGCTCTGCGTGAGCAAGAAGCTGGGGGCAGCAACTGGAGATGGGGATTAAAGCAGGGCTCCTGAAGGCGTATACAGGTGTGCCAACATTCCAAGAATGAAGAGACCTCATTTTTGTTTCAGCACGGTATTGTATAGGACACCCGAGTAGAAAATACAGAGTTCTGTGTCTTCATTCCAGCTCTGTCTTCTACCTGGAGCAGTTTCCCCTAATGTACAACAGCTTGTCTTAGTCTGGTGGGCACGCATTGCAATGAATGAACTAATACTGCTGTATTCTCGTTGGAGTTCCTGGCTTACTATTTGTGGCATAGATTTTTAGGAGTTTTGAGAAATTCGTGACATGATATCCATTATTACAGTTTTATACAGAGTAGTTCATTGCCCTTAAAATGTTCTATGCTCATACCCCGCCACCTTCCCTAGAATATGTGGCAACCACTGATCTTTTTATGATTTCTGTAATGTCTCCTGTCCAGGGATGCTGTACAGTTCAGAATGGATTGAGCACTGTGCGCTTAGGCCTGTATGCTCTATTCCTGGCGTGGTGGCTCACTGCTTGAGAGCACTGAACGCTGTGCCCTCTCTGTAACTGTGTCGTGGCTTACAAAGGTTTAGAAGGGCATCTTGGTTACTGTAGGTTTAGCAGATATAGGTAAGGCTACTCCCAGGTGCTGATACAGTTTGGCAGCAGGGAGCAACTCCCCCCACCTTGCCTCTGCAGACACAGGAGGGAAAAAAAGAAACATTTGTCCCACTCAGTCTCCTCCACGTGTGACCCTTCCCACTCTGTTGGAGGCCTGGTGGGTTATGGAAACAGTTATGGAAACAGTACTAAAAAGAAAGTAAGTAAGGCTGCTGTGAATAAGCCTGGGTAGGGTTTTCTGTAGACGAAGTTTTCCCCTCCCATTTCCACAAGTACAAGGAGCGTGACCGTTGTTACATGACTGTATGTTATGTAGCAAGAGGGGGTTTAGTTTTGTAAGACATTTAATCAGCTCTGCATTGATAGATGAGGAAATTGAACCTATAGATTCCTTCTCAAGGTACATAGTTTTATTTCCTTCATTTTTTTTTCTTTTTAAGAATTTGTTTTTATTTGAAAGAGTTGCAGAGAAGAAACAGAGAGATGGATCTTCCATCAGCTGGTTCACTCCCTATGGCCACAGTGGCCAGAGCTGGGCAGAGCTGAAGCCAGGAAGGAACCAGGAGCTTCTTCTGGGTCTCCCAAATGGGTGCAGGGTCTCAAAAACTGGAGTGGTCCTCTTCTGCTTTCCCAGGCCATAGGCAGGGGAACTGGATCAGACGTGGAGCGGCTGGGAACTGGTGCCCGTATGGGATGCTGGCACCGCAGAGGCTCAGCCTGTTAGGTGATGGCACCAGCCCCAGTGTTACAATTATCTCCTCTTCCTGGTAGTCCTTGTTTATTTAGACTGAATGTTTTTCATGCTGTTTGGTGAAATTTGAGATGACGATGTCACAAAGTGTCTTAATAAATGTTTATTGCTGAAGCCTCGTCTCTGGCAGATTAAGTACAACTCACATTGATAAGAAGCTGTTGTTTTGTGTTTTTTCATATTGAAGATCTTCAGTATATTCTGTATTTTAACAGGTTGCAGTGTTTTATAGAGCTAGTCCCAGGCACAAGATGAAAATTATTAAGGTGAGTGTCTAAAAATTCTGCAATTTTTCTGTTTAAAATGCTTCTGTATTGTATTTGCAAAGCAGGAAAGACTGATAAAGGATGCAGTTCAGAACTTTTGTGAGGAAAAAATGGGTGTTTATTGTAGTCAGATCATCAAAATGTGAATATCAGCAATCAAAAACTGAATGAGTGTAAAGCTATGAAAAAATATTGTTAGGGTGTGAGCAACATAAAAAGACTATGGTTGTTTATTTCAAGTGGGTAAACCAAACAGGCATTAGTTAATGACGGTCAGTTTTAGCACGTAGACATTACAGAGCTGCGACATTGTTTGAACATCAGCGTGGCCATAACACAGATTTAACTGGTATTGTTTGTTGTTGTTGTTGTTGTTGTTGTTGTTAAGAGAAAAACATAGTCATTTGTTACCATCCCCCAGGACCATGTAGTGGATGTGCCATGCTTGAGTATGGGTGGCAGTGAGTGGGTTTGCTTGTACCAGAAGCACACAGCCATGTGAGAGGTGCATGGAGCTGTACATTGCGGTGGCTGTGGTGTCAGCAGGCATAGGAGTTTGTCACATGCTTTAGAAGCTTATTTGCACCATGCTCAGTGTACAGCACTTTGTTGATTCAATCATTGCAGTATGGCACACTGATAAAATATCCAGTAATTAGTAAAGTTATTAATCACAGCAGTTGGCCACTGTATAGGTCTTTCATGTGCTGGTTCACTGCCCAAGTGGATGGGCCGAAGCATGAGGGACAGGGACCTTAATTCTTGGGCTCTATTCTGCTGCTTTCCCGGGCTGGATCAGAGTGGACCAGCACCCATATGGGATGTCTACATCAGAGGTCGTGCCTTAACTCACTGTAGCACAGTGCCAGCCCTATATTAGTTCTAGTTTTTTAAAGGCTTGTTTATTTCAGGGGGCGAAACAGAGGGATCTTCATCCACTAGTACCTTCACAGATTACCTAACCCGGGAGCCATTTCATTCACGTTTCCAACACTGGAGCCATATGCTGTTGCTTTTTCCCAGGCCATTAGCAGGAAGCTGTATCCAGAGTAGAGTAGCCGGGACACAAACTGGTTGCCAGTATGGGATGCTGGCTTTGCAGGGGGCCTCTTTGCCCCACACTGCAATGTCTGCCTCTGTGTCTTATCTTCATGATGTGAAAAAATACTAAGTGTTTATAAATCCCTTCATCTGTATGAACGATATTTTTACCAGCATTTTTCTCTCCACCTGTTTGTCTGTGCCACGTAGTCTCTACAAAAGAACGGGTCGGTTGTAGCCATGACGGGGGATGGAGTGAACGATGCAGTTGCCCTGAAGGCTGCGGACATCGGCGTTGCGATGGGGCAGACGGGCACAGACGTTTGCAAAGAGGCCGCAGACATGATCCTTGTGGATGACGACTTCCAAACCATCATGTAAGTGAACAAATGTCAGAGGCTCTTTCATCTTTTCAGCTGAAAATGCATTAGCAATAGCTGAGCATTGAATAAACTAAACAACATTTCTTGGTTGTTTTATAATGTGATCTAGTACATAGATCTGGAGAAAATGGTGTGTATAGGTGGACCAGACATAATGAAAGGCAGACTGTTCCTGAAAGAAGTGTCTGCTGACACCTGCCAGGCGTCCCACTTCTCCGGGCAGTGTACCACACAGCCGTGACCCCATGGGCTCCTTTCTGCTGGGAAAATTGACATGATGAGAAATGCACATCAGATTCCTATTCACACCAGTTTCTTTGCATTAGTACTTACTTATATAAATCCTCATTTCATGATAGGATTTATTATAATTGAATACCTTTCATTCATTTAGTTAAAGTTTTCATTTGGATTTATTCCAGTTTCACAGTGGTCAGGTGGGAGTGATGTGAGACTTGTGTTTTTGGTAATCATTAGTTCTTTTAACCATTTCATTGAAAGTCTAATTCTGTGTCTAGGCGTGCTCCGTGATCCTGTTACGGGAACCCACAGCTCAGTGCATGTGCTAAGTTCTTGCAAGGATATGTGTTTTTGTTTTTTTTCTTCCTCCCATATTTTGAATTGTATGAGAATCATGAAAGAAAGAAAAAGTGTTTATAATACATGTATTTTCCTTGGTTCAGCCAAATGAATTTTATACATGCTGTCATGCCCTAGCCTTTAATTAAAAAATCTTAGTGTGTACAAACAGCGATAGCTAGATCCTGTAATTCCTCTTTTATCATTTAATTCCTGGCATTAATTTAACCCGTGACCAGCTGTCGTTGGCAGTGTTGCTGTTGCTGCCTCCCGTGTGTGAAGACAAGCAACTTTAATGCTGAACTGTCGTTTTGAGAATAACTTAGTACTGTATCATGAGATCGGTTCTGTTTGCGCTTATCAGGATTGATTTGAATGCCTTGCTGAAATAAGTGGTATCATGGGTTTTTGTAATTTTTATTATGTGAAGGAAATGACAGATTCTTTTTAATGCTATATTTACTACATTACGTAGAAATTTACTTTCAGAATTAGCTTCACAGTGCTATAATGTAGACATTTTCCTGTGTTTTTTTTTTTCTCACTTTATTTTTTAAATTTTAGGTCTGCAATTGAAGAGGGTAAAGGGATTTATAATAACATTAAAAACTTCGTTAGATTTCAGTTGAGCACGTAAGTTTGCAAGAAGTTTCTCAACATATACTGTCTAAAATTGTGTCAGAAATGGAACTCAAGGAGAATGCCTAGATGCTTTGCCTAGAGTTGTGGGGATGGTTTGTATGCAGGTTTTTGAAAGCTAGTATTAATTATATCCTAAAAGTCAGATGGCAAAGAGTGGTGGTTATGAAGATGCCCGGCCCCATGGTGGGGTGCCTGGTTTGCTGTCCAGCTGTAGTGTCGTGTCATTGAAGAACCTGGAGGCAGTGGTATATCCCTGGAGGCAGACTTGGGTCTCTGTTGCTCATATGGAATATCTGGATTAAATTCCTGGTTCCCTGCTTCAGACTGGCATGGTCTAGCCCTGCTTTGCATGCATTTGAGGAGCGAACAAATAGATGGAAACACTTTGTATTGATGCTTGTCGCCCTGCCTCTCAAATAAATTTAAAAAATGAAAATGGCATGATAAAGTGGTTCCAAATGTGCTGATTAGATGTCTGAACTGCGTTCAGAATATACACATGCCTGCCTGTATCCACAAGGTCTGTGGTAACAGATTCAACCAACCATGGATTGAAAACATTTTGGAAAATGTTGTATATTGCACTGAACCTGTAGATTTTCCCTGTCATTGTTTCTTAAACAATATAGTGTAACAACTGTTTACCTTGTATTAGGTATTAAAAGTAATCTAGAGATGAGAGACTTAAATGTACTAAAATTTAGTGTATTTTGGGGGTGGGATAGGTTTTGGAACCAATGATCTGCAGTTACCGAGGGGGGAGGTTGTCATGTGAGCCGTGGCGACGGCCCGCTCTGGAGGCCCGCTTCCTGTGGGTCAGCTGGCTCCTGATTTCCCCTCGGGGCTCTGCACGCCCTGAGTGGCAGCTGAGGATGGCTCTGTCACATGTTTGGCAGACCCAGTGGAGCTTTGGCACGTACTTCTGCCTGGCCCAGCCTTGGCTGTTGGAGCATTTGGGGAGTGGACCCCTGGGTAGGAGAAATTTCTTTCTCTCTGCTCTGCTTTTGAAGTAGATAAAAAATAAAATTCTCTTTAAACAAAAGGACGTTGTTAAGAGAAAAAAAGTTGGGATGTTTTTAGCAGCTGCTGAACTGAGAAGGGCTAAATCCTATCTCAGTGCTCCTTGTCAGACCTGGGAGCAATGTGCCATGGTTGAAGAGTGCCTGTAATGCTGTTGAAACTGTTAACTATTATGTATGCTTAATCTCATGTTTGCACTTGTCTAAACATCTTGGAAATCCTCTTATCTGTATGTCTGAAAAATGGAGCATAAATTGGCTGAATCACAGATTTTCTTTAAAAGCACAGCGGTAATCAGATACTGTGGAAAAGTGATAGCACAAAATTAAAAAGTTTACTGTGACTTTTTTTTCCCCCAACAGGAGTATAGCTGCATTAACTTTAATCTCATTGGCTACATTAATGAACTTTCCTAACCCTCTGAACGCCATGCAGATCTTGTGGATTAATATTATTATGGATGGACCCCCAGCTCAGAGGTATTAGCCTTTTCTTGCTTAAATTGGAAAGACAAAGCTTAAAGGTTTGCAAACTGCATCTGTAGATCCCATTAGAACTCTTGACAGCACCACGTGTCACCAGTGGTGTGATGTGCGTCTGAGCTTTCCCCCAGTGCTGCGTACCCACCCGCAGGCCAGGGACAGGTGCAGGGTCTGTGCCTGAGCAGCCAGCTTGCTCGTTCTAAGAACTGGACGTGTTGGACAGAGCCAGGAGTTCAGGGTTACCACCTGTTTTCTGTTGTCAGTTTTCGGGAACTTGGGCAAAGTGTTGAAGGGCCTGAGAGTTGATGTGTGTCATTGGTCCTTAGACAAGGCTGCCTCCTTAGCTCTTTCCTGCATGAGAATATTTTAACTTTCGGTTGATACATTGTGTATTTCATGTCATGTTGGAAAGAGATAAACTTATGCATAGATGTAATGAAATAATATTTTGGAAGGTAATTTTCAGTACTCTGTCAAACTGTACCAAATAGAGGAGGAGACAGAAAGGTTATTTTCAGATAATCATAATCCATGTTTCTTGATATGATTTATTTTCCTAAGAAAGCATGTAGCTTTCTGGAGAGTGATGTTAGGCAGGATGTAAAGGTAGCAAGGTTGTCAAGTCGTTTACTTTCATTTTTTGTTTTCTTTGAAGTCTTGGAGTAGAGCCGGTGGATAAAGATATCATCCGCAAACCTCCTCGCAACTGGAAGGACAGCATTTTAACTAAAAACTTGATACTCAAAATTCTTGTTTCATCAATAATTATTGTCTGTGGGACTTTGTTTGTCTTCTGGCGTGAGGTATGTTTCCCAGCTGAGCCACTGTGTTAAGCTGTACTCTACATGATGTTTTCATTACTCTGTTGTTTTACACAGAAGGCTGGAAAGTAAGGACAGCTCTTTGAGTGAAAAATGGGATCTTTTTTTAAAGTTTTGGTTTGATCTTTAGGAGTAATAACAATTTGTGATTCATGATTTAGAATAACATCTGAAGAGAAGTATTGTAATAAAAATCCATACTTGAAAATTTGGAGAAAGAGACAAATCCGAGTCTGTAGCTCCATTATTGCGGTTGATGTGAGAGCTTTGTGCTTCTCGTGCTGCAGACTACCGCTGTTCACTAGGTGGTTTGTGGGAAAGTTAGGCTGCCTGTGTTGTCATACCGTAAAGCTGTTTCATCCTAACGGAAAGAAAATATTCATGTGTTTGAGGTATGCAGTCATCAGAAGTCATTTTATTTTTCTTGACAGCTGCGAGACAACGTGATAACCCCTCGGGACACGACCATGACTTTCACATGCTTTGTGTTTTTTGACATGTTCAATGCACTGAGCTCCAGATCCCAGGTATGCTCTGGGGGCTGTAGTTGACTCAGTTGGGGAGAGTACTGTCTGAGAGTAAGTAGAAGGTTCAGAGGTGATTGAGTGAGAAGGGGCTTTTAGTTCAGGCAAAGGATTTTATTATTCAGGGGGGAGAATCTGCCAGATGGTCCCTGGTGGGAGCCAACGCAGGACCACTTGCACATGGCGGGATGACAGTGGGAGGGAAGGGGCTGCCCTGGACTTACAGCACAGCGCTTTTAGGCGTCTTAGGGACAGGAGAAGGCAGTGGCTCCTTGGTGTGGGCTTGTGAGAAGTGACCTGTGGGGCATGGCAGGATGCTCATTGTGGTAGACTGAGGGCTTCCGAAAGGGCATTCCAGGTGTGCCTGAGGAGATATGCCAGGGTGGCCCATTGGGAATGGTCTCCCTCTGCCCAGCCTAACAGGAAATAGAGTTAGGGGGTTTTAGACTTGCTTGCTTTGTAACCAAAAATGACCTCCCTAGACACAGCCTTCTTCATAGTACATGCTGTGGGTCACAGTGGGGAGCTGGACCTTCGCGATCTTTCACTAGTAGGTGGAGTCAGTTACAGGCATCCTTCTTCCATCTTCTGTCCTTTTATCTTCTCCCAAGTTCTAACCAGGCCCGGCACTGCTTAGCTTCCTTTTATCTTCTAATATCCTGTTACCTGTTGTTACACTGTCGGGTCAGGTTAACGTTCTCTGAGCATAGGATCAACCTGTTGAGTTCTGAAAAGCTAGGTGTTTGCCTCGCTTAGAAGTTTCATGTGTTACTGCTTCCCCTTCTAGCAGTGTATCAACATTTAGTATATTTTAATTTTGCCTGTCTTCCTCTGTTGTCCCTTAAGATTTTATTACTTCTTGATGGTTTTACTTTTAAAAATAGTGATTTATTTGCATATATTTATTTGCAAAGGAGAGAGAAAGCATGTGTGAGAGAGCTGATACATGTGCATCCACTGACACACTTCCCAGTGGGCGCATCACACGGGGCTGAGCCAGCCGGGCACCGGGAACTTCTCCTGGGTTCCCACGTGGCTGCAGGGTCCCTGCGCTTTGCCCCATCCTCTACTGCTTTTTCGAGCCAAAAGCAGGGAGCTGGGACATGAACTGGTGCTTGCAAGGTGAGGATTTAGCCGTTGAGCCATCATGCTGAGCCCAGGCTCTAAGAACTTAATTTGAATCCCTCACATGGGTGATGGAAACTAAAGTTTTTGGGCCATTTTCTGCTTGCCCTCTGCCAAAGGTGTGCATTGTCAGAAAGGTAGGTCAGAGGCTACATAGCTGAAAGTCAAACCAGGCACTCCAGTACATGACAAGTGGGTGTTCCAAGTGCTGCAGCAACGGCTTGCCCCTCATTTTAATGTTAAAACACTTCATGGATCTTTATATTTGCTTTGTTAGAACTTTCCAAGTGCAGCACATTATTTCCAATCTGGAATAGATTCTGAAGAAGCAACAGTAGCTGTGCTTTTCTTTTATGAGTGTTAGGTTTACCTAACCAGAGCCATTCCTCAAGATAAGGTTTTAGGGATGGGTGTTGTTGCCTTGTGTGTTATGCTGCTGCCTGAGATGCCAGCATCCCATATGTGCTCTGGTTTAAGTCCCAGCTGCTCTGTTTCCAGTCGAGCTCCCTGCTGCTGTGCTTCGGTGTGGGAGACTCAGATGGGACTCGTCGTTGTTGGCTTTGGCTCGGCCTGGTTGGAACCATTCTGGCCACTTGGAAAGTCGACCAGTGTGTGGACAGTCTCTCTTCTCTCTCTGCAACTCTGCCTTTCAAATAAACAGTAAATCATTAAGAAAAAAATTTCAGGTTATCTATGTAAATGAATGTATAGAAATGATTACCGCACTGTGGCGTAACAGATAAAGCTACCACCTGAAATGCTTGCATCTCATGGGGGTGTTGGTTTGTGTCCCAGCTGCTCCATTTTTCAAAAATGTATTTATTTGAAAGGCAACAACCAAAGAGATACTGGGTTAAAACATCTTTTTTAAAAATTGGCTTACTAAAATATGTATAGATTTCTTAGTGTGCTTAAATGCTAGAGTAGATATCCTTTTTATAGTCTAATTTAGAGTATCACTCTTCTTAGAACAAGGCTATTTCTGATAAATAGAAAGTCCCTCAATCTATCCCTTGAAAATTTCTCTAAATTTATTCTCAGTTAAAGTGGAAAGATTTCCTGGTATTGACATAGTAGAGTTGTTTCAGTGATACTGCTATTGGGATTTGGAAGAGCATGATTTAAAAGCAGTTGTGTGCCTGAGTGGTGCCCGGATGACGGCTCTGTGCTTTGCCAACAGACCAAGTCTGTGCTGGAGATCGGACTCTGCAGCAACAGAATGTTCTGCTACGCCGTCCTCGGGTCCATCATGGGCCAGCTGCTGGTCATCTACTTCCCGCCGCTGCAGAAGGTCTTCCAGACCGAGAGCCTGAGCGTCCTGGGTAAATGCAGTGCTGCCTCTCGCTTGTGTCCTTAGCCTGCCACTTTCATCTTCCCTCCTGGCTCTAAAAATTCTGTTAAAGTAGTGAAGTAAGAAAAAGTAACAGATTTGATTGTGTTTTTTTCCTGTGGAAATGCTCATTTCATCCTACTTCTAGGTTTTGTTTTCCTTTGCGTCTTTTCTATAACAGACTCTCATTGTTGTGAAATCAGCTTTGGTGATTCTAAAATACAGCAAAATTTTGTTTTTGAGGAGTTGTAGTTTATGACTTTTTAATAAGCTTTCCTGTGTTTTAAAAATTCAGTTGATGCTCATTAAAACCAGGCTGTTCTTCTAAAATTAAAATTTTAATATAGTAATATTTTACTGTTATTATTTCTTACTATTTTTCACATTTTCATTCCATGAGATATAAGTCTGACCCAGAAAGCATAAATTTTATAGCCTTAGAGACCCTACGTTATTATTTCACCAGCCATGCATCAGGTAGATGCTGTGTTACACTTCAAACCTGGTTTCCCTGTTCAAGTGTAAGGGGTAATTGATTTGGTGGAAATGCTGTCTGAAATTTTTGAGTTTTTAAGTTAATATTGTTGTTTGCAAAATGGAATTACGCAGCTTCACTGGTTTTTGCGCTAAGTTAAAATTTCTTAAGGTTGAGCAGTTGGATTTTGCTGTTTCGATTCCATATTCCCTTTTCATTGTGGACATCTGATGCTCAGGGAGTCAGCTGGGAGTTTCAGCAGCAAGTAGGAGTTAAACAGAGTGTATTCTGTTGTCAAGTATGTGCTGTTTTCAGGCTTTGAAATGGAATGCATTGATGTGAAATTTTAAAAGTTGAAATGGGCATTCTCATTCATGTTAGTTACTACTTGAATTGTACTTTTCCAAGGGGGCTGTGGTCACTGTTGAGTCAGGGATCTGGGAAAGTGGTCAGAGAACCTGGTCCTGGCTCTGGCTGCTGCAGCTCGGGGACGCTGGCAGAGTCGTGTAATACCTTGACCTTTCCTCTCTCAAGTTGTAGCTGAGGGTGATTGTGCCTAGCTAGGGAATGGTTGGGAACAAGGTGTTTGAGACCTGGTGTGTTTCTTTTGCAGACCTTTTGTTTCTTGTGGGTCTCACCTCGTCCGTGTGCATCGTGGCAGAGATCATTAAGAAGGTGGAACGGAGCCGGGAGAAGAGCCGGAAGCACACTGGCTCGACGCCAGCGTCCTTTCTGGAAGTATGATGCATATTGCATTCTTTATTTGCAAGCTAGGAATTGCAGTCTGAGGATCATTTAGAAGGGCAAATTCAAGAGGATAATGAAGATTTGAGAACTTTTTAACTTTTCATTGACTAAAATGAACTTTAATGTTAAAGACTTGATTTGAGACTTTAACCTGCTGGCAGTCCCAAATGAAATTATGCAACTTTGATAACATATTCTTTGATTTAAATTGGCTTTTGCAATTGAGTGGAACTTTATATAAAGCATATGGGCAATTACTTAATTAAAAAAAAAAAAAGGCAAAGCCTGAACCACATTTTCCGCACTTGAAGAGGTCTAACAGTATAAATACACTATCTATCTTAGATAGGATAAATATTTTTTTTATTTTTAAATATTGTACTATTTATGGTGGTGGGGCTTTCTTACTAATACACAAATAAATTCAGTCAATTCAAAGTCATTCTTTTTGTTTTAGAAGATGTGCCATGTTTCAGCTACTGTATTTTCTTTCTCTTGTCATGTAAGCAGCTCCAATAACTTGTGCCCCCATTTTTGTATTGCACATTTTTTGCACAGGAAGTGACCACTGTCAAATCACTGTTTTCTTTCTTTTTGTGACTGAAAAGCCAATACTGCAATTTGAAGTAAATGTTTTCTTTTCTTAGTAAGTGTAAGTGGTTCTTTTTGTTTTTGTAGGCAAGAGTCTGGTCTTGGGGAATTGCAGGCTGTCAACAGGCCTTCCAGTTAGGGTAGCCGTATTTGTAAATAACCATTTAGAGCTCTACACATTGGAGATTGGGCTGGAATTTGTAACAAATTATTTTAATGCATCCTGTGTCCTTTTTGAGTTAAATATAAATTACATACTTGTCATATTGTTTTGTCATTCCCTAACACAAAATTCAGCTATGTAGAGTTTTTCCACATGTTTTCAGGCATATGTATTTTCTTCACAAGTGTAAACTGCTAAAATTAAAGCACACCAAGCTCAAGCACCTGGCTGGTTAGGGCAGCCGAGGGAGGTCCTGTGCTGGGCTGCTCCGTGCGGCACAGCCCTCTTGGCCTAGACTGCAGCACGGCCCAGCGTCCGGCCCTTCTCCTTTTCCTGCCACTTGTTGTCCACATCGTTGCTTCTCTTTTATTGGATATGCTGGAGAAATAGGTGAATCTGTTTTGTGTAATGCCATCAGTTTTTATAAATAAAGAGAGGGAGTTTTGTATTCCATGAACTGGAGGGTAAACCACTCATAAGCATTTATCCAGTAATAATCTGCAAGCGTTAGCACTGATACACTTTCGTTGGTAGAGACAATATTTATTTTTCATTGTAACAGTGCAGGGCGCTGAGGCATCCAGGCTGAGTAGCACTGTGCAGTGCTGTGTCTCTTTAGATGGCACCTGGCAGGCACCGTGGACTCCGCCTGCACTGGCCGCGTCTCAGCCTGGAGTTCTGCGATGACTGTTCTTGTGTTAACCAGACTTGCACGTAATCCAAGTGCATGTGAATCTTGTGCTTTGCAGTTTAAGTCTAGAGATTGACTCCTATGAAATAAATGTGCCTATCCTTTTTTGTTTATTTTTTTACCTGCAAAAATAAATGATTTCTTTTCATACTTCCCACTTGGGGTATTAGCATTAAAATTATACATAAGGATTTTTGAAGTTAGGGAAACTGCTTGTTTAAAAAAAGGAGTTAAGGTATCATGTACAGACCCAGATTTCAGTTTTCTATAGAATGTCTTGGATGACCTACATATGACTGAGGGGAGTGGCATCATCAGCCTCACCTGTAAGCAGCGTTGAGTCAGCCACAGTAAGTTCATTCATGTACCATTCTCATACTCATCTGCACAGTTGACAGCTGGTTGGCAGCTCATCCTGATACCCTGCAACGCTGGCCCCTGCTTTCACTTTCTTTAAGATTTATTTATTTTTAAAGATTCAATTTACTCATTTATTTTTATGGTAAAGTCAGATATACAGAGAGGAAGATCTTCCATCTGCTGGTTTACTCCCCAAGTGGTTGCAATAGCCGAAGCTCAGCCGATCCGAAGCCAGGAGCCTCTTTCAGGTCTCCTGCACGGGTGCAAGGTCCCAAGGCTTTGGGCCGTCCTCGACTGCTTTCCCAGGCCACAGGCAGGGAGCTGGATGGGAAGCGGGGATTTTGGGATTAGAACCGGTGCCCATTTGGGATCCCAGCGTGTGCAAGGGAAGAACTTTAGACACTAGGCTACTGTACCAGGCCCAAGATTTATTTATGTTTATACCAAAGACAGATTTACACAAAGGAGAAACAGAAAGATCTCTCATCTGCTTGTTCACTTCACAAATGGCTGCAAAGACTGCAGCTGAGCCAATCCAAAGCCAAGAGCCAGAAGCCTCGTCTGGGTCTCCCATGTGGGTGCAGGGTCCCAAGGCTTTGGGCAGTCCTCCACTACTTTCCCAGGCCACGCGCCTGGAGCTGGGTGGGAAGTACAGCACCTGGGGTATAAATTAGCAACCATATGGAATCGCTGTGCTTGCAGGGGGAGGGTTAGCCAGTTGAGCCCCATGCTGGTTGTTTAAGTGTCTTTCTATAGGAAGTGATGGGGATGATGCATGAAGTAGCTAGCAGTGTTACAAGTCGGGGAAATGGTTTGTTTCAATCCTCCTCCACCTGTACACATGGGGCTGTTTTGGGGTTGCCAGACTAGCACTCAGAGAAAATCTCAGCTCAGAGGAATCTGCTGCCTGGTTTTGTAAATAAAGTTTTATATAAACAGCTATGCATTTTTGTTTAGATACTGTTTATTGCTGCTTTTATGCTGTAACAACAAAAATAAGCCATGGAATAGGACCGTAAAATGTGAGCTATTATCTGGTTTTTCAGAAAGTTTGATAATCATCTAGATATTCAGAAAGAGAAAAATCATACACTGCTTCCAGCTCCTGGAAAGTTCCATCGTTCCAGCTTTCTGGAAGCCAGCTCATCTCTGGGGTAGATATATGTGGCAGCAGATCTGATCCATGCGGTGCCTGAGGCTCCATAAGGCTTCCCCTGGAGAAGGCGTGTCCGCGTGGGCTGAGAACATGAGCCTTAGCCAAGAGGGCCCACATGTCAGGCCAGCCCTCCCCGGGATCGGGCGTTCTCTGCCACTTCCAAGGTGCAGGTGGCTTAGACCATCGTTTCAGCTTAGGAATCGCACTGTACAGACAGGACCACTGAGACACAATCATTGATTCATTTATGCCCAAAAGGAGGAAGAGAGAATTCTACAGCCTCAGTATTTGTTTAGAAATTGTATCTTCTATAACTCTAAGATACTTAAATTACAAAATACATAAAGTCACTTGAATGCTTTTACGATTGGCATGGAAGACCTTGTAGAGGTGATTGCAGACTCAGTTTGATGATGAAGGCCCAGATGCCTGAAAGAAAAATCCCACAAACAGCCCTCGCCTGTAACTCTTGAGCGGACATCACAGCCCGTGGCTGATGACATTACAGTGAGCGAGTGTCTCCCTGTACAGGCTTACTCACAACAGGCTCATCGTGATCGTCCAGACTTCCTTTCTTACTGGAACTGCTCGTTGAAAAATCTATTTCCATGGTCTCAGGTGAGAGATTTCATGTGCTGGAACTCAGTCCTAAGGGGCAAGACCTACAAGACCGGTAGAACAGGAGACGTATTTTAGGGAGGGGGTGTATAACATCCTGCTCCTACAGAGCAATCTTCATTGCCGCCCCCAGCCCCCACGCCCCGTTTTATTTGCATCTCTTGAAGTCGGGTCTGAGATTTCGGACTTAAATTCTCATTCCTTATCATAGCGTTCAGTCTGCATTGCCCATTTTGCAACCCCCTCCCAAGAAAGTTGCAGAATAACTCTTACTATTTTATTGTGTTGGTTCCCCAAGCATGGCTTTTGGGTGCTAGGTGCTGAGTCACTGGGTAGTGGTGAATACCCTGTGCAGGGTCCTTTGGAGCTGAATGCCTCTGCTGACAGTGGCTAGAGAGAGAACCCTGATTTACTAAGGCTGAAGGAGGATCCTTGTATGAAGGGAAAAGATGGTGGAAATTATTCAGTTAACATTGAGTTAAATACTGCCCAGTATGCCTGCCACACCAGTCATTTCTGAGTGGGAGTGAATGGTTTCCATATCAGGTGGTTTGAAAAGCAGTGTTGATGAGAAGCCAGGAAACAGTACGTTGGTGTTGTATCACTTCCCCATAAGCCCCCGTCTCCAAGAACTAAAGAAAAGAGGATTTTAACAAAAGATGCTTATTACCCTCATTAGATCTGGTTTTGGGGTGAAATGTAGACACACGTGCGTGTGTGTGTGTCTGAAAGATTTATTTTAGATATGAACCATCGGAGATGGAGATCTCTGATCTACTTCTTCATGCCCCCGATGGGCATAAGGGCCAGGGCAGAACCAGGCTGAGCCAGGAGCGCCCTCCGGGGTGGCAGGGTCCGAAGAGCTGGGGTCATCTTGATCGCCTTGTTTGGGCCATTATCAGGGAGCTGGGTCAGAAGTGGAGGAGCTGTGGCAGGAAGTGGCACCCATGTGGCATGCCAGTGTCTGCTGGCAGTGACCTCACCCAGTGGACTGGCCCTGTTGTTTTCTTGGTCCTGGTGGTGAGCAGCCAGATTTTTGGAGACATAAACGAACCACCTCAGTAAGAAACCCAGTGTGCTCCTCACATAATCAACTTATTTTAGGAACTGTTAATTGAGGAGCAAATGACCTTCTACTTTGCAGTGTGTAGTCAGCGAGGGCCCGTTAACACTGTGGGAGGCGTGTGTTTGACTCTGGTGAAGCCGGGCTCGCTCCTCTGCTCGGAGTATTTCCACCTGCTGGGAAAGTGGCAAGCACAGTCGTTTGGGTTTGAGGAATGAGATAATCCTGTTAGTACTGATGACGTGCATCAAGGAGAGAATGAAAGAGCAAGAACAGTTGGTGTGAATTTCAGTAAAATGAAGGTTGGAACACACTTTCAAATCTTGCCCAAATGTATTCATTCCACTTGTTTCGTCATTTCATACTCTTTATTTGGAACTGGCCAGCACCTTCACAACTCTGGTGGTGTGCGTATCTTAAACACACACTCGACTTTCCAAAGCAGTGCCTTCCAAACCTTTTTGGTTTGAATGTAAGATGTACGTTTTACGATATATGTGTGCCTACTAATTTAAATTTTTAAAATGCTGGTCACAGCCCTAACTGCCTTTTACACCCCACTAAGGCATGGTCTCCCAGGAGAAGGGTTGGAGTCAGGCGTCGGTCTCTGGATCTGGTAGTTGAGGACGTATTTATCTTGCTGGAGCTGTTACCGTGTCTTGACCGAGAGCACAGCCGGAGTCCCGCCCGGCTCTGAGCTCGCTCGGTTCCCCCCAAGCACCCTAGCAGCTGGATTTCAGGCACAAACTTCATACTCAAGTATGAAGAGGAAATAGTTTTAAAGTTTTTTTTTTTTTTTTTAAATGAAAATCAGGTTAGTGAAGTATTTGTCAAACACAGCTGGGTAAGTCAGTGCAGGTTTTTTCCCTCAGTTGCTGCAGTTTAAAGGTTTTAGATTACTATTTGCTTTCTGAAGTACAAACATGCTTCTGCTCGGGCTTAAAAATTTAAGTCAGGCTGTATTTATTAAAAACAAATTACAAATTATCTTAGAATTGAAACACTACCTGTTGAAGTATTTACCCCAGTAGGTTGGTCCTAAAAAGCTAAATTGTCTCAGGAGTGGTGAGGAATTTTAAGTCCCAAGTGCACATCTCCTTTGCTGCATACCACGTTTATTCAAGCTCCGAGGCCTCAGTCTGTCCCTCCGGGTCTTCAGCCGTTAACAGCCCAAACCGATTGCTTCCCCCCCAGCAGCCCGTGGTGCCGGGGGTGGCTTCCACCTGGTTCTCGGAGCGGCTGGCCCCCCGTTTCTTCCGCTTCTTCTTTTTTGAATTTGACTGACTCTTTGGGAGGAGTAACTCAGCAGGAGCACAGTGCTGGGTGGCATTGAACAGCTGTTCGTACAGTTGCTTCGCCTCGGGACACAGGCTCAGGAGCCCGTCTACAGAGGCTGAGGCCAGCAGCTGGCGGCAGAGCCCATGCACCAGGCTGCCGCAGTACAGCCTGTGGGAGGAAAAGGCATTTTGTTCAAGTATCAGTTCAGGGCAACAGGAAGTCGTCAAGAAATCAGGCTGGTCCTATGAAGTTACTGCAACACTGCACAGTGCTCTTCCCCTTGAAGGGACAAACAGTGGCGTTTTAGGAAGGATTACTTCTTAGCTGGTGACAGTAAACTCTGGTACTCGGCAAACTAGGAGATGCGTACTGCTTTTGCAATCAGCCTCAAGTTGAGTAAGCCTCTCATACTAAAAGACTTTTGCATGACCTTGGTAAATGACACAACTTGTAAAATATCAGAACAATATCATTTGCAAGGTCATCCACATGAACGAACCTGCCCCACTGATGACTGTATGAACCGCAGTGTCCGATGTGATGTAGCCAGAGCTGATGGGGTCCAGTGTTCACAGTGCAGTCAGCGTGGACGATCATCTAAAGCCTGGCTGCTCTGACTTGCAAGCACATTTCCTTCTGTTCAGAGCACTGTGTGGGAACTGTCTGGCCTCACTGTTCCTGTCCTGGAGGAATCCGTGCTAGTTAGAGAGCTTGCAGGAAAGAGTGACCCTGACTGGCACAGGAATTAGCCAGCTGATACACTTGCGAGGATGTGATTGAGCTGGCAGAGTCATGAGGCTGAGACATGCAAGCACATTTCTTAAGGTTTGGATTAACTAAAAAAATGAATTAAATTGGATTAACTTTTAAAAATGAATTAAATCAAAAAATAAATGAATTAAATTGGATTACCATGAATTAAATTGGATCAACTCTAAAAATGAATTAAATAAAAAAAAAATCAACATGTTTATTTTGATGCACACAAAAAACAAATTTCACAATCCATGCATAAGAGGGATGTGATGTTCTTGAAAAGTACGTATCAGGAAGACACGCATCGATTCAAAAAAGTTAACTGGAAAAACTAATTACTAATCGTGGAGACATTCTTCAGGAATTTAGAAATAATATCGTATTTAACCGTTTCCAGCTCTTCAGCTGTATCCATAGCCACAGATCAGTTACACTAAGATGAACTTTTTAAAGTGAACTCGTGCTTTAAATGTAAGTGAACATGTTTGCTTGCGTGTGCATCCGTCTGAACTCATTTCCCGTGGTGCTTACCGAGTTAGGTCTGGCTCTGGGAGAGGAGAGGACAGCAGCTGGTTGAGATACACCCCCATCTGGAGACAGCACTGCCACTGACAGAAGACGTGAGCCGTGTCTAGATCCAGTCCCGGGCCCGGCCGCACCTGCTCCTTCAGGCTCTGCAGCTCTGCGTGCAGCCTCCTAGCGCCAGCCTGCCGCAGCCGCTCCTCACCTAGAGAGACCAGCCACAGGCACGGTCCTGAAAGGACCGCTCCCAGCTGTCGTCTTCCTCCACAGAACACAAATTCCACCAAGAAGAAAATTAGTTTAAAGACCCGAAAGTGTTTTTTCTTCTGATTTCATAATTGCCTTGCTGAACACACTGAAATCTTTATACTGAAATGCCTTTTTTTTTATGATGATGTTTTGTGCAACCCCAAGTCATTTTTTTTCCTTGAAGTGAGATCTCTTGCCCTGACCCATTAACCTTCAACGTGTCTGCATGTGGCTTCTCCAAACTCTAGTTCTGTGTCTATGGAAAATACAAACAGCTATTAAATCCCATTCTCTCTTTTCTTTCGCTGAACTTCCTTTCCGGGGCTCCCCTGTGCTGCGTGCGCTGGTGGTACAGCAGCAATGTGAAGCACATTTTAACCTGTTCTGTGAGAGGAAAATCAAAGCATGACTCGGCATGTGACGAGTGTGCCTGTTTACTTGGTGGAGAACAAGGGACCAGGAGCAACAAAGCTGGCTATTCTAGAATGTTCTACGTGCTCGGCTCTAGGTTTCCATAGGTTTGTTTGAACATGGTGCACAAAATAGCATCTGGACCAACTTCTCAATGAATAAAGATAAATAAATGAGGCCCACTGTTCACCAGTTAGCAAGCAGCAAGGCACTTAAGCCTGCCCAGGAGCTGCGACCACATTTCCTAAAAGAAGAGAAACACCCTTGACGTGCTTTTTCTGTTGGACTCAGGTAAAAACTCTGCAGGCTTTGGCTCTGAAGGGTTTTATTATCATGCAGTGAGGGGAAACGCCCTCACCCTGTGTCCTTCAAGCAGTACGGTTCCTTGTGCCGTGGCAATGGGCCTTGTGACCATCACTGTCGGACCCGAGCCTTCATGCTGGGGTGTCTGGAGCCCACACCGTGTGTGCCGGTCTGTGCCTTCGGGAAAGCCAGCTGCACAGCAACCTTGGCCAGATGTCCCGTGTCCTGCTGCTGTGCATAAGCCACAGGTGGCTACCAAATCTCAGAGTACTGTCAGACAGGGTTACGTGGGGGTCTTCAAAAGCTTGACAGAGGGGCCAGTGCTGGGGTGTAGTGGGGCAGCATCCAACATGGGCACTGGTTGGAGTCCTGGCTGCTCAACTGTAATCCAGCTCCCTGCCTGTGGCCTGGGAAAGCAGCAGAGGACGGCCCAAGGCTTTGGCACCCTGCACCTGCGTGCGGAGACCTGGAAGGAGCCTCAGGCTGGAGACCGGGTGAGCTTCAGCTGTTGCGGCCATTTGGAGAGTAAGCAAGGGAAGAACCCCTTGTATCTGTACCTCTGCCTTTCAGACCTTTTGGCAAAAAAGTTTGTGGAATGCAGCCCGCAGTAGTCTTAACTCCTCCGTCCTATGGCCCTGGCATGCTGTGTGGGTGCTGGTTCATGCCTTGGCTGCTCCAATTCTGAAATGGCTCTTGGTTACAGCCTGGGAAAGCAGCAGAGGCTGGCTTAAGTCCTTGGGACCCCAAGTGGGAGACCCAGAGGAGGCTCCTGGCTTCGGATGAGCTCAGCGCTGGCCACAGTGGCCATTCAGGGAGTGAGCCAGCAGATGGGAGACTTCTCGGCTGCCTCTAAAGTTAAAAAAAATCATGGAAAATGCATTGTGAAAACATGCATGACTTTCAAAAACTTTGGCACGTAAATATCTTTCCAGTTTCATGGATTTTTAAAGTCCCCTGGTTTCTTACTCATAATCATTTTTATTTATTTATTTATTTATTTTTAAAGACTTAATTGAAAGCTAGAGGGAGAGACACAGAGATCCTATTTGCTGGTTCACTCCCCAAATGGCTGCCGTGGCCAGGGCTGTGCCAGGGGCTTCATCTGGGTCATCCTCATTGGTGGCAGGGAGCTGGAGTGGAAGTGGAGCAGCCAGGACACAAATTGACACCTATATAAGATGCCAGCATCACAGATGGCAGCTTGGCGTGCACAGGATATCCCGTCCGAGAACAGGTGTCCCAAAACGTTCACGTTTATTTCACCTGATATTTAAATGCAGATAAAATTGCTTCATTGTACTTCTCTAGGAAAAGCTCCTTACTACTATATATAATGAGTGAGAGTCACAGCAGGGAAAAAGATCTGACAGAAGCACACGCATGAGTACTTGGTGTGGGTCTAGGCATTCTGAAGGGCGGCTTCAGGCCGATGTTAAATGCATTTGCTGCTGCTGCATCAGTGATGGGCAGAGGAGGTGGACCACTAAATGTAGCTAACGGTACACAGGGAATCACGTCAGAAAGCAGAAGGCCCCCAGCACAGGCGTGACTTGCAGTGACGCCCCCTAGCGCTGAGCCTAGCACATAGCAGGGTTCCACAAAAGCTACCAAGGAATGATGGGAACAAATCACCGAGTAACGGCCGACAAGCTCCTGGCATTTCCCCGTACCTACCCGGGCTGTTGATGATGGCATGCAGGGGTCCCACCAACATGCCCAGCAGTAAGGCTTGCAGGTGGTGCAGCCTCGCCTTGGCCTCTGAGTGCTGCAGCCAGAAGCAGCTGACCGCAATGGGCAGCTTGAGGGCCGCAGGGACCGGCTCCAGGACCGTCGGCTTCACCTTCAGGGTTTCCAACAGAAGCATCTGTCGCCTGGCCAGGGAGAGCTGAAAACACCAAACATCGTGCACGTTACCCGCCTCGCGTGAGGGGACTTCACGCGGACGAGAGGGCTCCAGCTGCTAAACTTACCTCCCGTGGGAGGAGTGACAGCATTTACAACAGAAATAAGGTCCTTCACAAACAGGGCAGGCCAGAGGGGTAGGTACAGTGTTCCTGCGACAGCGCACGTGACAGCCCCCTCTAGGCGGCTGGGCATGCTCAGTGCTCACATCACGTGGGAAGTTAAGGTCCATCTGTAATCAGGGGAGCTGAGGAACCTGCGCTGTGGTCAGCACCCCAAGTACTGACGCCCTTACACAGATCTGCACTCTCCCCAGCCTCAGCTGTGAGCGTGTCTCTCCACCACGCCACTCGAGTTTGGCTTTGGTTTTTAACCATTACTTTTACCTCTCAGGCAAGTCTATGTTAAGAGTGTTACATTGTTTTTCTGTTTACTTGAGGTTCACTGGGATTCCTTAAAATGCTATTTTGCAAGTTTTATCCCAGCGCCTAGATGGCTGGTTTCTGGCACTTTTTGTGAGGTGAGGTGATGGGCCTCCACAGCTCTCAGCATGAGATGTGGCTTCACCTCGGCATTTCTCTGAGCCTGCGGTCCCTGACCACAGCAGCAGACGGCACCCGAAGTAGAGCTTTGCTGCTGGCGCAAACACCCCCCAAGTCCTGGAACACCCCCCAAGTCCTGGAACACACCCCAAGTCCTGGAACACACCCCAAGTTCAAATCTGGCCCTCCTGCCTGGGACAGCCCTGGGCAGGTCTGGTGATCTGGGTCATGGGCATGACTTGAGTTGCACGAAATGTTTCACCCAGTCCTCCAACCTCCGCACTGCCAGCCTTCAGCTGGTGGACGTCATCCCACGTGGCAGCTGCTCTTCCTGTGGGAGCCTCCAGCGGCAGCTGCCACTGAGTCACAGGGGCTGCTGAGCCCCAGGACTGCTTAGGGTTCACCTGAGCACTGGCCGTCCCAACTGCCATAATCCCAGAAGGAAACCCCAGCCCACGCAGTGATCTTGGGAGCTAAATGAGAGACATAAAGTTGCTTTCACAACAGCTAGCACAGGACCGACCCGTTGTTACTGTGTGATGCTAAGAACCACTTGTGTTTGCTTTGGTGTTTGGAACCACACTTGCACCTGGTCCGGTTCAGGATCATCACGGGGTAATTCAGAGCACTGAAGTGAATACAGCATATATTGTTGCCGAGGGGAAGCAAGGTGACAGCTCAGAGAACTAGAATTCCGCTCTGCTTCAAATGCAGCTAGGAACGCTTGCGTCACCTCTGCTCGGCAAGGACAACGGCATGCTCACTCGTTCAGTTGGATTTCCACACTGCGGAACACACAACACAACACACACAGACACACACACCCCACACACTGCGGAACACACACCACAACACACACAGACACACACACCCCAGTTCTGGAATTGTGAAAGGCAGAAGTGATTATGAAAGTGGTAACCACAACAAGCTGAAATGACTACATGCATCGTGCGTCTGCTCAACAGAACAGGGCATAAAAAGACAAAATCTGCAGACAGCTCACAGTATGTCATTTGGCTAGGGACCTGACTAGAAGTACACAAACATACATAACCCACAGAAAAGGGCAAAGCATTTTGAAAAACTTCACAGAACAGAATGTCCAAATGGGCATTCAGAACGGAATGGATGGTCAGGGAACTGCAGGCTCCCTGCTGTGACGGCTGAGACGCTGCGACTCCAGAGGCCAGACAGCAGGTCCCGGGCAGGCCGTCAGGCGCAGGGCCTTGTGGGGCCTCTCCTTGGCAGGTCATCTGGCACATATCCCATAAGCTGACCACGTGCACAGCCCGTGACCCAGCTCTGCCACTCAGCTTACACAAGGACACTTCAAAAAGCTGGTGGGAAAACTGGATTGAAAAATACTTAGTGTAAACAGTTTGAGATCCCTGCGCAGCTGTTTCATCCTGTGCATTTCCAAAGTCTTTTCAGAAGCATTTATAAAGTCTAAACTGAGTCCAGACTACGTCACTAAGAGGTCAGGACCCAGTTAGATCCTCGCCTTGCAAGCACTGGGATCCCATAGGGGCACTGGTTTGTATCTGCTGCTCCTCTTCCCACCCAGCTCCCTGCTTGTGGCCTGGGAAAGCAGGGGAGGACAGCCCATGGCCTTGGGACCTGCACCTGTGTGGGAGACCTGGGAGAAGCTCTAGGCTCCTGGCTTCAGATCAGTTCAGCTCCAGCTGTTGCAGCCACTTCGGGAGTGAATCAGCGGATGGAAGATCTCCCTCTCTGTCTCTGCTTTCTCTGTAAATCTGCCTTTCCGATAAAAATATGTAAATCTTAAATTTTTAAAAAATAAACTGTAAAGGGTTTTACCGTAATCTTCTTAATAGAAGTACGTACCTCGGTCAACGTGCTTAAGTCAGGGTGACCCTTGAGCAGTTCTACTGCCTCGACCACCGACGTCTTGATGTTCTTCTGGATCCTTTCCACTTCCCTGAAGGCTGGTGGCCGAGGAGGCAAAGCCTGGCACGGTGTGTTCCCTGGACGCAGGGAGGCGTGGAGAAGCAGCCCGTAGATGGTCTGGCGGATGGGCTGCGAGACCCTGTGGGCATTTGACCGCTGCATGTTCTCCACCTGGGTCTGCAGGATGGTCCGTCGCAGCACCAGGGCGTCACTAATGAAAGGGGACAGCTGGCCTTTGGCTAAAGCCACGAGGACCCACTCCGGTAGGCCCAGGTTCACGGCGTCGGGACAGACGTAGGTGCCGCCCTGGAAGAAGTCGTGCAGCCTCCCCGGGGACTGCTGGTACTCCTCCATGGCGCAGCACAGGAGCTCCTGCACACTGCCCCTGGCCTTTTTGGGGAGATAGTTCAGAACCTGGGCTAGCGCTTCGGCGGGGTCCGCGTAACGAGCCAACCAGTTCAGCAGGCCCAGGACGCGGCCGTGTCTCCTGCCCTTGGCCGCTCCCACGCGGGCTTTGCTGAGGAACGTCTCCACGATGGGCAGGTTGACGTGGTCGTTTCCACACAGCACCGCAAACAGAGGCAGCAGAGTTTTATTCATATTGCTGAAGTGGCGGCAGAAAGCATCGAGGGAGAAGCACTTGGCGGGGATATAGCAGTTTTTCGTGGCCTTGTCGGCGCTGATGTTCCTCCACTGAAAGCTATTCAACGGGCAAAACCCAGTTTTGAGGTCGAAGATACAGAAGTCACTGTCTGATGATAACACGGGGCAGTCCCAATGGTTGGCCAGCGTCATGATGTCCCGATCGGCTTCGGCAAAGCACTGAACAAAACGCACACGCAGCCTCGCCAGCACCTGTAAGAACACTTCCCGGGCGAGCAAGGGGCACACGTGCCCACCCCTGCCGACGGCAAGCGAATGGGCCGTCTGAATCTTCTCTCTCGCTCTGTCCTTTAACGTTGTAAGCTTCTTGTCTGAAATGTCACATCCTCCGTCCAGTACGACATACGGGCAGATGTCGCAGGCAGATAGCGATGCGAAGAAGCTTTGTACGACCTCTGCGAAAGCATCGTAGTCACCCCCGTACCGCAGCTCCAAATCCGAGCTGAAACAGAGTCGGTGGAAGAGAGCATAGCCGTCAATAACGATCTTCGTGTCCCGCACCTTCAAATCCGTGAAGAATTCACAACCGTGATCTTCCACGAAGCTCATCAGCCCGCGGATCCCCATGGTGGTCCCCGGCAGGGCTGCCTGCTGAGTAAAGCAACGCGTTTTCAGCGGCTGCACGATTGCTCCACCAACAGCAAAATGTTAACAAGGGCTCTTTGCCTAGACCAAGTGAGGTGTCGCTATCCGATGTGGGTGGGGAGGAGGAGGGGAAAGGCAGATTTACAGAGAGATCTTCCATCCGCAGGTCTACTCCTCGGCGGTCACGACGGCCAGGGCTTGTCTGGTTCTAACCTGGGAGCCAGGAGCCTCCTCTGGGCCTCCCACTTGGATGCAGGGTCTCGATGATTTGCTACTGCTTTTCCAGGTCATAAGCAGGGAAGCGGAGTGGCCGGGACACGAACCGACACCCAATATAAGGTGCCAGCCCTACGGGGTGAAGGACCAGCCCAGGTACCTGAATTCTTACCTAGATGCTCAGACAACACTGACCGAATGCTTTTCCGTTGTCTTTGGCTTTCTTCATGAGTCACAGGTAAAGCGCAATGGTTGCATGGGTTCTGGTCTTTGCATAGAGGCTGCTAAGGGACCTAAGGGGAAATCCGAGCGTTACTGACACAGCAGAACAGCTCCAGGAACTTGTAATGCTTAACACTCACCATCTTATAATTTAAGACTTTTTTCTCATTTTTTGCAAAATAAGCTATAAAAATCACATGCATATCACTTTCATAATAAATCAGAAAGATGGGGCGCCAAAGCACCAGACATCTGGGCTTGCTCACTGCCAGAGGCTGCGAACTCGTGCAGCAAGCTGCTCATGTCAGCCCATCTCCACATCGGCAGTCACCTGGACTCAGCCGACAGGGCGTTTCCTTTCGCCTCAGCTTTCAGGGTTGTTGCTAATCCTGTCAGCCCCGGATTGCTTTGTGTTGTTTTTTTGCACGACTTCAGAGTTTTGGAGTTAGTGCATAAGAAGGCATTCCTCGTGCGGTTTCTGACACCAGCCCCGCACCTCGCACAGCCCTTACTTCCGTGTACACGTTGGTGTTGCAAAGCTTCCACAGGTCCTGAACAGCTCAGCCTGCGCCGGATGATGAGTCTGGGGACCTTTCAGGGCCTGACCCGCCGCCCCCGCCGTGAGCAGGGCCCACCTGCCCAGCTTCCCGGAGCACCAGGGGCCCCGGGAGCCGAGTGGCGTCCCGGGCAAGCCCGCTTCCGGGAAGGCAGTGGCAGCGCACCGCGCCCGGGGAAGGTCCTCGAATCCTGAAGGCGCGCGAGCCCAGAAGGCTGGGTCTCCAAGGCTCCGAAATGGCCGGGGGAGCGAGCAGGGCCTGCTGGGGAAGGCGGACACTTCCGCCCTGCCCCGACTTCCCAGCACACACCGCGCCGTCGCCATGGCGACGAGGCAAACATTGCCCAGGCTCCGGTCTTCCGGGTTCTTGCAGGACCGGGGCCGCTCTCGGCGCCCGGGGTGTCCACTGGCCATCTGAAAGGTATCGCGGATCGCGTTGCTCCAGTAAGCCCACCACCCCTTATTTGTCTGGATTCCGTCACCTCCCGGGTCGCTCCAGTCTCCTAGAGAAAACGTATGGCAGGTTCGCCGGGCTTACAAAGTTTTTAAAAAGTTGACAGAGGCAGGAAAAGTGTTCGGGTTACCCTTCGGGTTAAGGTTTAATTTTATTGTTTTTAAAAAAAGATTTATCCTTTTTTAATATATATACCGAGAGGAGGAGAGCGTGCTAACCTGGGACTGCTCGGGTTGGCCCCCTGGGAACCATGCAGCTGCGGACTAACTCATGCTGTATCCGGAAGGAGCATTTTGCCAACGGGGAAGTTACCTGTCTTACCGTGCGGCTGTTTGTGGCCAACGAACGCTGCCATAGGAAGTTTATTATGAACAACAGGTTTTTGTCACAGCTTGGGATCTATAGGAGAAAGGGAGAGCGGGGGAATGAATAACGCAAAACATTTGACAGATGCAAAACATTTAAAGTTGACAGAGAAAAAAAAATCCTAGGAAACCAGCATCATAGAACATTGTAGTTCAATTTTGCCAAATTTGGGCTGCACTAGGAAGGCTGTGTTCCGAGAAAATTGCCTCCCACTGGAATGGCGCTCTTTTCTTACTTTCTAGCGTTTTTCTTTCTAGTCCTTTGAGTGAACTGACAGGGTGCGGGGCAGTCCTCTCGTCGGGGCGTGGAATCACTGTGCCACTGTAAACTTTTGCTAGGGCAGTCTGCGTCCCGCAGCCCTCGTCGCTGGACCTCGCCACGAAGGGGCTGGCCGGCGCGGCCTGCATGAGTCTGTGTAAGCGGTTTTGTCTGGATCCATGCTGAGGTTTCACGAGGCGGCTAAGCGTGGCAGCGGAGCAGCAGCTGTTTCCGCTGCGCGCCCAACAGCCCTGATGGCCACAAGGTACCTGCTTGGACAGAAGCTTGGCAGTGGGAGTTTTGGAACTGTCTATCTGGTGTCAGACAAGGAGGCCACGCAGGGGGAGGAGCTGTAAGTAAAAAATCGTGGAACACATCTGCCCTGCATGCGTAGCTCTTAGCAGATCAAAAACGGTGGTTTTATTTGCATTCTCCTTTTTAAAATAAATATTTATTTAATATTGAGAAAGCCAGAAATACAGAGAGGAGGAGAGACAGAGGCTGCAATGGACGGAGCTGAGCCGATCTGAAGCCAGGAGCCTGGAGCCTCTTCCGGGTCTCCCATGTGGGAGAAGAGTCCCAAGGCTTTGGGCCGTCCTCTCCTGCTTTCCCAGGCTACAAGCGGAGAGCTGAGTGGGAAGGGGGACTGCCGGGATTAGAACTGTGCTCATATGGGATCCTGGTACATGCAAGGTGAGGACTTCAGCTACTAGGCTATTGTGCTGGGCCCTTGAATGCTCTTTTTAAGAGAGAAAAATTTCCCAGTTATCTGATACCAGACGTGGGGTGCTACAAACTTCTGAATTTGAATTTTGAGCTTGTAAGCGAAGTACATTAGTAACACCGTTTATTGTCTACATGCTTTGGTTAGGTAAGGTTTTCAATTCCACTGCACATGGCCTGCCGTAAGCAGGGAGCTGATTGACACTAGAAGTCGGGAGAAGAGGACTAGGTTTCTGTGGCACGAGGCATACATCCCTGCCCTCCATCAGGGTGGATCTGTCTCCCCTCATTGTTCTGCAGACTCACCCCAAAACTTCTGTCCTGCTGAGGGATGTCATGCCTTTAATTGCCGCACCATTCCTTTATGTACATGTCAGTCTTACAGGACTTGGGTACACCATGAAGCCAAGGTGGTCTACAGGACACGTTTTACCAATTCCCATGAAATACAGGCTTATACGGTGGACATGCACCGCCTTCGCTTGGCAAAAGCTAATTTTTGTTACACGCATTGCAGTTCATGCGTGTGCCACTTGGGGGCAGCACTCTACCACTGACACGGAATAGGCAGTGGTTTGATGTGGAGCCGCTTTCCTGACATGGCATCTTGTAGTCAGTCACCAGTGAACTATTTAATACAATTCAAATGTTAAGCCTTTGCTTTGGACTCAGTGCCAGCAGGCAAAGGGGTGAGATGACAAGCACCTGTCTGGCCGATGCTTAGCGGACCTGGAGCGGTCACTCCGGTCTCTTGCTTGCTTGCCGAGTATGGACATTTAGATTCTGTGTATTTTCTAAGTACTTCACTATCTCCTTCCCATTCCTGCCTATGTAAGTAACCAAACATTTCCTTTCTATTGGCATTTGCATTTTTAAAAATGGCGGCAGTGTTTGGAGTTGAGCCCACCCGAAGCCAGGAGCCAGGAACTTCTGGGTCTCCCAAGCAGGTGCACATCCCCAAGGCTTTCAGTCACTCACTGCTTTCCCAGGCCACAGGCAGGGAACTGGATTTTAAGTGCATCAGCCAGGATCGAAACCGGCATCCACATGGGATGCCCGCACTTCTGGGACTAACCTGTTGAGCCACTGTGCTGGCCCAAGACCAACTGTTTAGTCTGAGATGGAATCACTGACTTGTGGGGTCAGATGGGGCGGGCTCCTGGAAGCTCCAAACCATGCTGAGTCACCACAGCTGGGACCAGGGCTCCACTTTACACCCTCACTGCCCACAGTGGTCAGTCTTGAGGGACTTACAGTAAACAAATACAGGAAAGACAGGTCGCTAAAGGGTGAAACTGGCTTTTTAGTTAAACCTAGAATCAACAGCATCTCATTTCATGCGCGCCCTCCATCACTCGGCGGGAGGAATTCAGAAGGAGCTGTCATCGAATCAGAAGTGAAAATATAGATGAAGCAGAGCAGGTGTGAGAACTGGGTCGTTATTCACACAAGCCAGGTAAAGACACTCTTCCTGCGGTTGATCCAGGCGACTTATTTTCTGGCTGTTCTCAGGCTCAACATTTCTGTCCACGGATCACACGTACTGATCCATAGGGTAGCCCTAATTCTGTCAGGGGAAGTTCTGCGCGTTCATTCTGCAATACGCAGAAGTATTTGTAAATAAGAAGGAATAACCTGGGATGCTACCATCCAACCTCTTTCTGTGCTTTGACAAGTTTCTAATTCAGTTGTTGTTTAAGGAAACACCCCGTTCGGCAGCTCTGGTTGCCCCGGAGACGAGGGGTTTGTGAAGAAAAACACTCATTTTTCACTAAGCCCTTTTTATTTCATTTGGAATTTTGTACCATGTGTAAGATCTAAAAATTCCACAGAAGAAAGCAATAATAATAATTAAAAAGACCACCCTCACATATTCATCGACTCGATCCTGCTCACCGTTTGTGTTTGAGCGGCTCGAGTTTGCTGTGGTGTTTCTTACCCTGGGCTCAACAGTGGAAACCCCGCATGGTCAGTGCAGATGTTCAGCCGTACTCCGCCAATCCCAATCCAGTTTGGCCTGGGGTGTGGTGCAGCCAAGTGGATTTTTTGAGAGCTTCTGGTTGATTTGAATGCACAGCTGGACTATCTAGTGCTGTGGGAGATTTAAAAAGCCAAAGTCCACTCATGGTAGCGTGTTAACAGTAAGAGAGCAAGCCATGGTAAGCTGGTGCCTTGGGAGGATGAGCCAGCCTTCCAGAAGTATCGTCTCAGGGGACCCTGGGAGAAGGGGAGAAGCAGCTGGTGCTTCTCGTCCTTTGCCAGGCTTCAGGGTTGCCTGGAGGTCTTGCGAAAACACAGGTTGCTGGGCTCCCTCCCCAGCGCTTTGACTCAGCCCATGTGGTGAGAGGGGCTGAGAATTGGCGTCTCGGACAGCTGGTGCTGCCTACCCGAAAAGAACCTTTTTAGTGGGAAAGGCCCCAAGGTGAGACAGCGTTCACTGCTTATTTGATGGGGTCGAGGGTGTGTGTGTGTGTGTGTGTGTGTGTGTGTGTGTGTGTGTGTGTGTGTGTGTGTGTGTGTAGGGGCGGGGGCATCCTTCACAATTTTGTGTGTATGCATACTATGACAAAACTAAGTACACATGGGTTTCAAGTATTTTTATGCCAAAATTTTACATTTCATTTTCCACAAGCATTTTTAGAGTACTCATGTATCATTCTGCATCCTTTTAACGCACTGAAATATGAGTGTTTTCCGATTTTCAGAAAAGGTTTATTTATTTACAAGGCTGAGTGATGGGGAGAAAGAGAGAGCCACAGCAGCCCAGTCCATGTCGGGAGCAGGAACTCAGCCTGGGCCCCTGGCAGGGGAGCAGGGCCAGCCTGCGTGCGCCAGCCTCTGCCGCCTTTCCAGGTGCTGCAGCGGGAAGCTGGGGCAGCAGCAGATGCCCGTGTGGCCACCTGCCGCAGAGCCAGCTGTGCCGCAGTGCCGGCTGTGCCGCAGAGCCAGCTGTGCCACAGTGCCAGCTGTGCCACAGTGCTGGCTGTGCCACAGAGCCAGCTGTGCCACAGTGCCGGTCCCTATCCTGTTCTTAAACACCCCTTAAAGCATCAGCTTGAAAAAAAAAAGATTTACTTTTGGCTGAAAGGCACAGATACTGGAAGAGAAGGAGAGACACAAAGAGAGATCTTCTACCCTCTGCTTTACTCCCCAAAGGGCTGCAGTGGCCGGAGCTGAGCTGATCTGAAGCCAGGGGCCAGGAGTCTCCTCTGGGACTCCCAGGTGGGTACAGGGACTCAAGGACTTGGGTCATCCTCTGCCTCCTGCTGCATCATTATAAATGCTTACATAGTAACCCATGGCATTGCTTTCAGTATCACTTAGTTTCTTCTTGTTGGATCTCCCGGTGCTGGAGCTCTCTCTCTCTCTCTCTCTCTTTCTTTTTAAGATCTTTTTATTTTATTGGAAAGGCAGATTTACAGAGAGGAAAAGAAATAAGAAAGATCTTTCATCCACTGGTTCACTTTCTAAACGGCCGCAGTGACCAAAGCTGAGCCGGTCAGTCCACAGCCAGGAGCCTCTTCCGGGTCTCCCATGCGGGTGCAGGGTCCTAAAGCTTTGGATCGTCCTCGACTGCTTTCCCGGGCCACAGGCAGGGAGCTGGAAGGGAAGCGGGGCTGCCGGGATAGAACCGGCGCCAATATGGGATCCCGGAGTGTGCAAGGCGAGGATTTAGCCACCTCCCTCTGGTGCCCTTGAAGCACCAGTAACAGACTTAGTTGTGCCTTGGAGTTCGCTGCGGGGTGAGGGGTAGCGGCTGTTTCACGGTGTCCTTTCGGTCAGCGTGACTCCGGAGAACTGAAGAACCGAGCTGCTGCTCCCGAACAGGACAGGTGTGCTTGGACATTCTGCTGGAGCAGCTGGTGACACTTGTGAATTATGGCCGCATTTGCTGAGAGGCTCAATTGTAATTAGAAAGCAAGGACTTCATCCATTTGCGGGTTACTGTTGACACATTGAAAAATGGGGACATTGGTTTTTTTTATACTGTACAAACTGAACTGAAAACACCTCCCTCTATATGTGTGTTCACTGCTTATAAAAACAGGCATTTTTTTTTCTTGGAGAATTAATAAATTGATCATAGTAGCCTGACAATGTCAAGATATTACAAATGAGTAATAGCTCTTGCTGGCATGCGTGGATCTTATACTATCAGAAGCAAACTGGCAATAACTCAGATGGTGACAGTAATTGTTGCCACTTCAGAGCTGAGTCGTATGCCCTACCTACTTACAGAGTTTTTGGTGTTATTTAATCATTTTAATGTATTCTTACTTTCTCAGTTTTGAGCCCTTCTAAGCAAAACATCAGCAGATTTAATGAGTCCAACTTTGAGCTCGGTGTTTTCTTATTAAAGCTATTCTTTCTATACCGTGCCCAGGAGCTCTCTCCAGCGGCTGTCTGCGAAGGCGGCCTCCTGATATTGAGTGAGCTGAGATAATTTAATAGGATTCAGTGGCTTATGCAATGGGGAGTTATGAAAGCAATTTGGAGGAAACTAATGATTTCGCTCCATTTTGCCATGCCAGACCTCAAAAAACAGTTTTCTTCAATTTTTCATTTTAATGATCATTTTTTTAGAATGCAACCCCCCACGCCCCCACCCCCCCAAAAAAAAACCACTTG